CCTGTCCCCGTCACGGTTCAATGCTAAGAGCAAGCGTGCGCACTTCCTGATTATCTGACGACAATAAACGCTTTATATTTAGATGCAGACAGTGTTGGGGAGTAACAGATTACATGTACCGGAGTTATGTAATCAGAGTACAAATTATGAGTAACTGTATTCAGTTACAGTTACTGTTTCAGTGAGTGGTAATTGGATTACAGTTACTTTGTTGAAATAAATGGATTACATAACGGTATTTTCTTGTTTTCACATTTTTGGCTAAATCGGGACTAAAACCAGATCTAAACCAGGACTAAACCAGGACAAAAACCAGGACTAAAACCAGGACAAAAACCAGGACTAAACCAGGATTAAACCAGGATCTAAACCAGGACTAAACCAGGACAAAAAACCAGGACAAAAAACCAGGACAAAAACCAGGACTAAACCAGGACTAAACCAGGACAAAAAACAGGACTAAAACCAGGACTAAACCAGGTCTAAACCAGGTCTAAACCAGGACTAAACTAGGACTAAACCAGGACTCAACCAGGTCTAAACCAGGACTCAACCAGGACTCAACCAGGACTCAACCAGGACTCAACCAGGTCTAAACCAGGACTGAACCAGGACTGAACCAGGACTGAACCAGGACTAAACCAGGACTAAACCAGGACTAAACCAGGTTTTAACCAGGTCTAAACCAGGTAACTTTATTATAGCATGTCTACATCTCCAAAGCTCAAAATCCTCCATTCCACTTTGTGATGTCACGAACCTGTAGTTTTCAAGTCGCCTTTTACTTTTTTTTTTTTTTTTTTTTTTTTTTACTAGAGATTGGCTGAAATTATCCAAATGATTCTAGAGAAGAAAGAAGTATATGAGGCTTAAAAACGCAGTGGAGCACTTCCTTTATTACCACATGACATCACAAGGTGGAACTCTGTGTTTCCTGTTTGAGAAGAAGCCTAAATATGCAGACACTAAATATGAATGAAACAAAACACAACTCCAGGTCTGTTTGTGATGTAATACTGTATTGTAATAGTGTAATATTTATATTTAATCTTTAAATTATTAATTTTTTAAGAGTTTTTTTGAGTTTAGATGAAGATGAGGCTTGTGTAAAAGTTCATAAAGTTATAAAGTTTTGTTGCAGGCAGATGAGCTGCTCTGAATACCATTTGTTTATTTAGTTCCGCACATGCAAACAAACACACATAAAACTACTTAAAGCTGCATTGTGTAACTTCTGTGGTGCTCTTCTCCATGGAGATGTTATTGCTTTGTCTGGAATGTTTCACAGTATGGCATTAAACCTTTCTATCTTCATGGAGACCAAACCGATAGCTGGGTTTCACGTGACGTCACAGGGCTACGTTTGTCAGCACGCAAAATCAGATGGAGGGCAGGAAGTGAACTGACTGGAGGAAAATGCCGATCTGTTGTGTAGTTTACGGCTGTGCCAATTGTTCTAACCGAGAGAAAGAAAAGCGATTTTTTTAAAGCACCGAATATAGTCATCCACAAAGGTCAGAAATGGGAAAAGCTGACAGAACAACGCCGTAAAAAGTGGATTACAAACCTGTTTGCGGTCGGGAAGAGCAGAATTCGCTAATGCTTGTGTCTGCAGTGACCACTTCGTCAAAGGTTTGTTACAAAGCTAAATTGTTTTTTGTGGTTTACCTAAACATAAACGAATCATTAACGACTAACAGCTAACGACGTTTGTTGACATTAAATAGTTGGGATAGATCGGTTACTGCTGATACACTGCGTTTTTTTTCCATAACGGTCTATACACATAAAATAAGAGAAACACTCACCCCGGCGAAGACCAAACGATAATCATCATTTAGGCGTTTTGCACCAAGGTTGAGGACCCATCCACTGACAAAAAAAGTTCTATGCCTCCAAACTTTTGTACGTCTTCATCTGTTGTCTGGTGTAGAACGATGTCTGGAGAACTAGATAGTTCGTGATATCCTCTGCCTCGATTGTCGGCAAATCTTTTACTTCGGTCGAAAATTCTCTCATTTTCAATAAGATGGGGTCACATCCAATATATTTGTCGACTAACTGCTCGTACTTTTGCCTCGCTACTGACTCTAAATCCTTACAATAAGAACTCTCCTCCATATCTGTGTTCTCCAGAGCCGTGTTTGTCGTGTTTGTCTTCACTTCCTGCCCTCCACCTGAAATCCGTGCGTCATCGTGATCACGTGACTGAAACCCTCCTATTCACATTTTTTGAGCCATAAAACCACTTGTAATTGAATAAACGTAACGCAGAACTGTTTAATGTCATACTGCGGAACATTTGAAGAAGAGCAATGACGTCTCCGTAGAAACAAAAAGGTGATGGACGCAACAGAAAAGTTACACAATGCACCTTTACTTAATTAATGGCCTGACTTTGTTTTCAGTCTCTCTATTTTTTGATTAAATCATTAAATTGTTCACACACAATACATATTTTTCAGGTAGTGTATTTAAAATAATTAAAAAAAAAAAAAAAAAAAAAATAATTTTGGTAGTTTCTAGGCATGTAACGATATCCAAATCTCTCGGTACGATATTATCACGATATGCATCTCACGGTACGATATTTATTGAAAAGATTTTGGTGTGAATTATTTCCGTCGTAATCCCAAGAATTCAAGTAAGAAACATATTTCTTCATGTTGTCTGCACTGAAATGAATCATGGGATATGTAGTTTTCAATGTTCTTAAGCTGTTGCTACTATAAAACCACGTATTTATGCAAAGAAACTTGTGATTTGATATTATTGTGAGACTTTTGATGATACGATATCACGATATTTCGCTTATTGTTCCATCCCTAGTAGTTTCTCGTCAACACGGAACATTTGATCCAGAGTGCAGGAATAGTTTACGTGCGAGGAGGCCATTTTGTGGTAGTGAAAAGCAGACCTATTATGCAAAATAGCTTTGCATAGCTCTTTACCATGATATAGTTGTTTCCTCTTTTCATTTACCCCCTGAAGTCGTATTTGGAGCGATCCGTGCATGTTAAAGGTGCACGTTATTGCTTTGTCTTGAATGTTTCACAGTATGGCATTAAACCAGGGGTGTTAATCTGAAATTCACAGAGGGCCGAAATTAAAAACTGAGATTAAGTCGTGGGCCAAACTAAATATTTATTGAAAAATTTCAACAACATCGGCATGTTTTCTCTTCTTTCGAGATATGTTAAACCTTTTCTTATTAAAATAAATGTTTAATAATAGGTTTGCTTATACATTGAATCCAGAACAAGCATAATATAAAATAATAACAACATTTTAAATAAATGATGGTGGCGGAGCAGCTCTAATACATTTTTTATATGATCTCGCGGGCCAAATATAATTAAATTGCGGACCAAAGTTTGACATGTCTGCATTAAACCATTTTATTGTCATGGACACCAAAGTATATAAGGTTACAGGTCAGATCTGTGGAGAGCCAACCTCACAAACAGTCAGAATATCTGTTTTTCTAGGTATTTTTGAGCTATAAAACCACCTGTAATTGAATAATTGTAAAGTAGAGTCATAGTGTGGATTGGAACATTCCTTGCTTATTTTCAAGACACCATATTGCCAATCTGTGATACCTAGGGATGTAACAATAACGGAAATATTGTGATATCGTATCATCAGAGTTCTTAATAATATCGTGGACCATCACAATATATCGAATTACACGTCTCTTTGCTTAAATTAAGAGTTACGGTGCAGCAATAGGTAAAAAAAGACAGAGAACTACATAGACCATGATCCTTTGCTCCATTTCAGTGCAGACTTCAAGAAGAAATAACCGTTCTAAACACTTTTAGGTCTTTGGATTAAGTCTTGTTAAGGCATTTTAAGAAGAAAAGTTGCATATTCACAGTTTTGTGCTCCACAAAATATTGCCTCCCCAGGATATCGCAATAAATATAGTAGCGTGAGTTTCATACCATCACAATATCGTATTGTAAGACTTGGATATTGTTACACCTCTAGTGATACCACGTTTAGGATTCGGCAGTGTTGTGTAGTCAGTTTGGTACAGATGAAAAAAATCTGCTACTCACTGTGATGTTTCAGCTTGTCCAAGAAAGGATGGGAGTAAAACACTGGAGACCAACTGGCCGTCTTAAGCAGGAGAAGTTTATTTACCATCAATAATACAGGCCCAGGTGGATTTAAAGTCAACATAGAGTAATTGATGATAAATAAACATCCGGTTGGTCTCCAGCTTTTTACTTTCATCATTTGATCAAGCTGAACACCTATAAAGGGCCGGCTCTTTCTTGTGATGATGTTTACAGCGACGTCAGCTGCTATTGGGCGTTGCAGTTTTCTAATGCGGAAATCAGCGCTCTTGTTTCTTTTATTAAGTCATTTTTAGATCAATATTCAATTTAAAATGTCCTATTTATAACATAATGATCCACATAGGGCTGCTCGATTATGGAAAAAATCATTATCACGTTTATTTTGGTCAATATTGAAATCACGATTATTCTAACGATTGTTTTTTAGTGACAGGATGCATTTCTTCAGCATTTCTCTCTCAAAAAAACCCACTTTGTTATTGATAATGTATGCAAAACTTTTAAATTGAAAATAAATTAAGGCTACAAATATGTACCTTAGAGTAGTTTTGCGATGTATAAAACATAAAATGAAGAAAAATCTGCCTGGAATGTTGCACAGTAAATACCTAGATAAACAGACATTCTGATTGTGAGTGGGGTCGCCTCTCCATAGATCTGACCTTTAACTTAGTTTGGTTTGGTCTCCATGATAGAAAGGTTTAATATCATACTGTGAAACATTCCGGACAAAGTAATGACATCTCCACAGAGAAATTTGACAGACCCTCCACCGGAGAAGTTACACAATGCCCATTTAACAAAACAATTTTTATTTTTTTTAATGGGGATTGACTGTTGACATCTTGATTAAAAAGTCGATGCTGATCATTGACGATTCTAAGAGTCCTGTATCTATGTTCTGTTTTTCAGAGAAGGACTACATCAGCCTGTGTGAGAAGCAGCCAATCGGGCGTCTCCTCTTCAGACAGTTCTGTGAGACTCGCCCAGAGCTCAAGAGATGTGTCAAGTTCCTCGACGCCGTGGTGAGAAGAACCCAGAAGTGCATCTTTAACTTCTGCTCAAATCTATCTCAATCTCTCTCTCTTTATAGCACAAACAAGAAAGCGCTTTTGGTTAATTAGAACTCCCTTATCCATGATTTAGTCATTAGACCTGGGATAATCTGATTTTAGACCTGGGTTAGCCTGGAAGTAGACCGAATAAAGTCCGGATTTCGATCTGGTAGTACTTGGAAAGCCAAATATTCGATTTCTTTATGGGGAAAAAAAAAGAGCTGAGGATGAAGAGGAGAGGGTCAGATGGAGCAGAGGAACAGAGAAGAAGGTCAGGTGGACCAGAGGATGGAGCACAGGAGCAGAGAGAAGGTTAGATGGACCAGAGGAGAAGGTCAGAGGAGAAGAGGAGAAGGAGAGGGAGGAGGAAGGAACAGAGGATGGAGCAGAGGAACAGAGGAGAGGGTCAGACGGACCAGAGGATGCAGAGAAGGTCAGATGGAGCAGAGGATCTTAGGGAGCAGAGGATACAGAAGAGAAGGTCAGATGGAGCAGAAGATGGAAGAGGAGAGGGTCAGATGGAGCACAGGATGAAGAGCAGAGGATGGAGCAGAGAAGCAGAGGATGAAGAGAGGGGTCAGATGGAGCAGAGGAGAAGGTCAGATGGAGCACAGGATGAAGAGCAGAGGATGGAGCAGAGAAGCAGAGGATGAAGAGGAGAGGGTCAGAGGAGCAGAGGATAAAGAGGAGAGGGTCAGATGGAGGAGAGGAACAGAGGAGAGGGTCAGATGGACCAGAGGATGCAGAGAAGGTCAAATGGAGCAGAGGATGAAGAGGAGAGGGTCAGAGAAGCAGAGGATAAAGAGGAGAAGGTCAGATGGAGCACAGGATGAAGAGCAGAGGATGGAGCAGAGAAGCAGAGGATAAAGAGAGAGGGTCAGATGGAGCACAGGATGAAGAGCAGAGGATGGAGCAGAGGAAAGAGAGAGGGTCAGATGGAGCAGAGGACCAGACGAGAGGGTCAGGGAGAAGGTCAGATGGAGCACAGGATGAAGAGGAGAGGGTCAGAGAAGCAGAGGATAAAGAGGAGAGGGTCAGATGGAGCAGAGGAGAAGGTCAGATGGAGCATAGGATGAAGAGCAGAGGATGGAGCAGAGAAGCAGAGGATGAAGAGGAGAGGGTCAGATGGAGCAGAGGAGAAGGTCAGATGGAGCACAGGATGAAGAGCAGAGGATGGAGCAGAGAAGCAGAGGATGAAGAGGAGAGGGTCAGATGGAGCAGAGGAGATTTGATTAAACACTTTGTAAGTCCACTTCCTTTGGGTCGCGTTACATCCACATCTGATCCGATTTTCTCAAGTCTGAATCAAACCATAAACTAATAATGCACAGGAGCAGACAGGACCTGACAGGAGCAGACAGGAGCAGGGACTTGGGCAGGAGCATGTCTGACAACCAGGAAAAGAGCAGGGCAGAGTGAAAAGGAGAAGTTAGGACAAAATTTTGCATACAGCAGATAGCGACAACAACCTATAAACTGTATAAAGAAGCGGACGTCGCCCACATCATTCAGCTCCAGTCAAATTAAGCCCACAAGTTCCGTATTTTATGATTTATTTACGGAAAAAATAGCGAAATAAAAACACCAGGATCATGTAGAGTGGGTTAATGCGAACATTTTAAGACCTAAATCTGGAGTCTGACAGCAGCCGTCACAGAGAAAAGGGCGACAGTTTTTCAATAAAAGTGAACTGGAGCCAGAGTCGATGGAGCCCCAAGTGCACCCATGCTCACTTCCTGTTTAAAATGCCATATTCACGTTTCAGTTTTGTATTAAATGATCCTAAATGTGTCCGACATATAAACTATTAACTGAATCTAAAACAAACTGTGATTCTAATCGAAGTAAAAAGCCACAGAACACAATCACAATCAGATTTCAACACTACTACTACTACTACTACTACTACTACTACTACTACTACTACTACTACTGCTAATACTTCTGCTACTAATACTAATACTACTACTGCTACTACTACTTCTGCTGCTGCTACTACTACTACTACTTCTGCTGCTGCTACTACTACTACTACTACTACTACTACTACTACTACTACTAGTACTACTACTAGTACTACTACTAGTACTACTACTACTACTACTACTACTACTACTACTACTACTACTGCTGCTGCTGCTGCTCCTGCTGCTGCTACTACTACTACTACTACTACTACTACTACTACTACTACTACTACTACTACTACTACTACTAGTACTACTAGTACTACTAGTACTACTACTACTACTAGTAGTAGTACTGCTGCTGCTGCTGCTGCTACTACTACTAATACTACTACTACTAGTACTACAGGTAGTACTACTACTGCTACTAGTACTACTATTATAACTATTATGGTAACTACTACTACTACTTCTACTACTACTACTACTACTATTACTACTATTGTCACTACTGCTGCTACTACTACTACTACTTCTACTACTACTACTGCTACTGCTACTGCTACTACTGTTACTAATACTACTACTTCTGGTACAACTACTGCCACTACTACGACTTCTACTACAACTACTGCTACTCCTATTACTACTGCTACTACTACTACTACTACTACTACTACTACTACTACTACTACTACTACTACTACTACTACTACCACTACTACTACCACTACTACTAGTACTACTCGTACTTCTTTCCGTTGCTCATACACTGAGGCTCGTGTGCTGGACTGACAGACATTTGTGGACTTATTGATGAGCTGAGTGAGTTAAACAGGCTCCAGTCAGACTGCACTGGACCATTACACTGCCTCCTCTCTTCCTCTCCTCTCTTCCTCTTCTCTCTCTTCTCTCTCTCAGACTTTTTCTTTCCCTCTTTTTTTCTATCATCTGATATCATCCCATTCATGTCTTTCCCCGGGGGTGTGCTGCTAACCGGAGGCACTGCTCTGTCTGACGCTCTGTTAATCAAATTAGACTTAAAGTTTTATTTTAACACAGTTTGACCATAAAGCGCTGACTTAGCTGGAACTGCAGGTGAGCGGATTTGTGCTGTTAAACAAGTCGCTCACTCATAAAATTACAGTCTCAAGATAGCATTACCCAACAGTTTTCAGTTTTTCTCACCTTTTTGTAGAAAGTTTAACTCCTAAACGGGTCCATGAAAGCTCATATTGATCACAGGCTCCTGAAAATGTCCCGTTTTAATCCATTTAGTATGTTTTTCTTGTGTTTTCAAACAATCTTAAAACTTTTTTGGCGATGTTTCTTAATGTGTGCAATGAACAATCCACCAAACACAACACCCCCATCATTGAAAAATATCAACACATCCCTTTGTTCCAATTCCTCTTTTTCTTCTCTATGTTTGTCACTAAGTTTTCTTCTTTCTTTCATCATTTACAAAGTTAGTTTATTTTTTTGGTGTTTTTAATCCTGTTTGATTTGTGTTTTTTTTCCCGATGTTTGGACTTATCTGCGTAGTAGTTTGTAAGGCTGGATCTCATTAAGAAGTTGCCGATACGATACATATCTGGATATATAGACCACGATACGATACTTATCATGATACAGTGCAGTTTTGATTCAATACGATATATTTCAAATTGATTTAATATAGTTCAGTAAAAAATAAAGGCTAAATTATGGCTGTGATACTAAAAGTCTTTGTTTATTTTGTTCACTTCTTGCGCAAAGTTGATTTAAAACACTCCCATTTTACTCATCAAATTAGTGAAAATGTCAAATGTGTTGCATAAATGAGTTTCCTTCCTCTAAACGAGCAACAAAACTGTAGTGCTGTAACAAAATAATTTAGTAAAATATACCAAAAAATACTCTTGGCAATATATCGATACAGCAGCCCACGATATCGATACTGTATCATCACATTAAACGACACGATATATTGATATTTTTATATTTTTGCACAGCCCTAATCTTCTGTGATGAATTTTTTTTTATTGGTTTTGATTTATAATTTTTTGCTTGATGTTTTAAAAGCTTTCTTTGAACTATATGACTCAAAATTTATTCCATAGCTCCGTTTTTACAGTTAGTTCAGTAAAGAAGGACAAAGTGCAGAAAACAGTTTGAGCCCAGGAAAGAGAAACATACCAAAAAAAGCAGGATTTCTCAAAATTGCCTCACAAAAACTCACACAGTTCCAAGGAAGTTAGTGATGAGGAAACTATTTTAAAACCCCAAAAGCATTTTAAGCAGAACCTTTAGCATCCGTGGGAGTTTCAATATTTTTTGCACATCTCTCGTAGTTAGTGTGTCATTATTTAAAGGTGTATTGTGTAACTTTTTTGTTTTTTGGTCCATCACCTGCTTGTTTCTGTGGCTTTGCTTTGCCTGGAATGTTCCACAGTGTGACTTTAAAAAGCTCTACTTCACATTTATTCATTTACTGGTGATTTTACAGCTCAAGATCTGACCTGTAACTTGGTCTGGTTTGGTCTCCGTGAAGATAGAAACTTTAATGCCGCACTGTGAAGCATTCCAGACCAAGCAATAACATCTCCATGGAGAAAAGCGTTTGACGGATCCTCCACCGGAAAAGTTACACAATGCAGCTTTTGACGCCTTGTTTCTTTTCTGCTCCTGTTTTCAGTTAGATTACGAGGTGACGCCAGACGAGAAGAGGAAAGAGTGCGGAGAGGAGCTCATCAACAAATTCCTGAACCCAAAGGTAAAACTGACAATATCAAAGCAAACACTAGAGGGCGTCGGTGCGCGCTGAGGAGTGAAGCAGGCTGAAACACTGCTCCTCAAACCGCTCCTACCTACAGATGAGTTTATTTTGGCCATTTGAGCATTGGATCATCTCATGTCTCGTCAGTAGAGATAAACCCATTTTTGGACACCATTTTCAAGACACCATTTTGCCAATCAACACCATTTTCACCTCCGTAGATACAGAATGGCAGATCTCGCAGTCAGCCTCTTAGTATGCGTTAATATTGCCGCCATCTTGGTACAGGGGTTCCATGTAGAGTCCTGCACCTGACGCAAAACAGTGCGGCGCGGGACACATTTTGAAAGCTCTTTGCGGGCACGGGTGGGTGGGATGATAAACTGTAGTCCTGCAAACTAAATATGAGAGTAAATTAAAATATACAAATGATTTAATGTTTCTATCATACATCATTTGTGTTGGATATTTTATTTGGCATTAATAAAAACATTTTAAGCAGCCTAAACTTGCATATGTGGTCCAATCTAGCACACATTTTAGACAGTTCCTTTCCACTTCTCCCGTGTTTGATAGAGCTTAAGAAAGTGAACGTACACATCTTGTGGGATTTCCGGGCGGAGGCGGGACAAAATATCGCAGATGCGGGCGGGAGCGGGAATGAAAACGACAATTTTTTGTGGGTGTGGGCTGGAGCGGGACTGAAAATTCTGTCCCACGCTGACCTCTCATTCCATGGTCTAAAGCAGCGGTCCCCAACCACCGGGCCGTGGGTTGGTACTGGGCCGCGAAAGCATGAATCCTCCAAATCTGCGAGAATATTGTTAGCCATTAATCCATGCCGCAAAAAAGGTTGGGAACTGCTGGTCTAAAGTAATCAGTGAATGTCATTTGACCGCGCTTTTTTTGCCGGACTTGAAATGGACTGAACCAGGTCTAAACCAGGAGTGAACCATAAACCCTGCTGTAGTTTTGGCAGACTACAACACAGACAACAAGTTTATCCAGTACTTCCACTGTATAGAACCATGTTATTCCAGAAGTTGAAAATTGATTCCATACTATTCCACCTTGTGATGTCATGTAGTGATAGTTTCCAGAGAGAGACACACAAAAGAAACTTGCCCAAAATTACCTCACAAAACACCCATGCACTTCCAGGTAAGTCATTGATGAGGAAACTATTTTAAAACCCCAAAAGTATTTTCAGCAGAACCTTTAGCATCCGTGGGAACCATAAGGAAAGTTGTGATTTTCTCCTTTAACTCAATGCAGTCTAATTCTTACTTATCTTTTGAGTCACTGGACGTGTCTGAACATGATCCGCCGGCTCCAGATCTCCTACTCATACTGTGTCCTCGTTATTTTGCTTTATACGCTGTGGATTTGCTTTTTCTTTTCGTTTCCTTTTTTGTTGGCTTGGCACAGACTTAGATTTAGATTTTTGCACCAAGGTAACTTTTTGGTTGAGGGTCCATCCCCTGCTTGTTTCTGTGGATACGTCTTGAGAAAAACCCTTGACGGACCCTCCACCGGAAAAGTTATGCAATGCACCTTCAACTTTTCTATCCTCGTTTTGGTTAATCATCATTTTGAACTACTTTATTCAAGATTTAGCCTCGCTTTAGACCTGGTAGAATCTTATTTTAGACCTGGGTTAGCCCTAAATTAACCAGAATAAAGTCTGGATTTAGATCAGGTGGTGCTTAAACCAAATATTAAAGGTCCTATATTACCATGGTGGCCGCGGGGTCTTGAAAGTCTTAAAAAGGTTTTAAATTTCATGTTCTTAAATTAAGGCCTTAAACAGTCTTAAATTATGTTGTCCAAGTCTTATTTTTTTTCACAAAGGTCTTAAATTTTATATACTCAACCGGGCTGTAGTGCGATGTTAAAGAGAGGGAAGAAAAAAAAAACAACAACGTGAAATTTCGCAACGTGAATGAACGTCTAATTTGGAGTATGCGCAAACAATACTTAGTTTGTCTTGTTAGAATGTTATAAATGATTTTTTGCCATTTTACAAGCAATGCATACTACTATAAATGAGTTCTGAATGAGATTTTATAATCAAAGTATTTTTGTGTAGTGAGTAATGGTCATTAGTCGAATTGGATCTGGTTTGCATGGGTGCAATGTCTTAATTTTCATTTAGGTGGTCTTAAAAAGGTCTTAAAAAAGTCTTAAATCTGGGGTAGTCAAACCTGGGGATACCCCAATTACACAAAATTTATTTAAGCTTTAAGCCATGATATAATGTAGTTTCCTCATCACAAACATACCTGGAGTTATGTTTTGTTTCATTCACACGTCTTTCCTTTTTTATTAATCTCTGTACATCTCCAAAGCTCAAAATGCTCTGTTCCACCTTGTGATGTCATGAAGCGGTAATTAACAGCTCCTTTTACCTTTAGTTCAGTATAGATTGGCAATTTCAGCACTGAAATCATCCAAATGATTCTAGTGAAGGTGTATTGAGTTTAAAAACACATTGGAGCACTTCCTGCATTACCACATGCCATCACAAAGTGGAACAGGATATTTTCTGTTTGAGAGAAGAACTCAGTCTTAATATGCAAGTTTCTGTGTTAAACATATGCAAATGAAACAAAACACATCTCCAGGTCTGCTTGTGAGGAGGAAACAACATTATAACATACAGTAGCAGAAAAAAAGCTAAATATATTCCCATTAAAGAATGAATGAAATCAGTGTTTCAGTAGAACGCTCAGGTCCTCTTTTATTTCATTTGCAAACTTGATTTGTTTATAAAATGTGGTAGAAAAAAACAGCTTCATTTGAATGCTTTAATCTTACGTCTTCTTTCTTGGGTTAGACCTGGTTTAGCCTTCGTTTAAGTTTTAGTTACTTAAGACCTGGTTTACTTCTGGTTTAGTCCTTGCCTAGTCCTTAGACACAACTTAAAGGTCCGATATTACGCAGATTTTACTCTTGTGAGATTTAAGACATGTTATAATGTAAACAAAACACGACTCCAGACTCCAGGTATCAGATGAAGAAAAAAGGTAGAGCGCTTCACCGGGTTGTAAAAAAGTACAAAATAACAGAACAGGTGCACTACGAGGGTTAAACCTGTAATCTAAACAGAGTGTCGCCCTTACTGAAAAATGTAAAAGTGGGCAAGGTACAAACCTGAACTCAAACAAAGGAATTATCGAAAAAAGACGCGGATTATAGTTAGCAAAAATAAACCGCGAAGAGATTTCCTATGGTACCATCAAGACACCTGAAGTTTCATCAAGGTATTTGCTATTTAAATTGTTTCATAGCTTATTTAATGAAAGTAGCACATTTACTGAACTAAAATGTCATTAATTTATCCAGGAAAACCTGCACTAGTTTACGATTCAACAAACGCTATGATCAACATGGCGCACGAGTGGAAGAGTCTGTGAGCCGAACCTTGAAAGAATCAGCCATGAAAAGATCCTCACAAACGTTAGAAAGATCCGCTCGCAAAAACTGATTAATTCCAGAAGACAGAGTTGTGGATAAACAAGACAATGAAGAAAACATCGCTCCTACGACGAGTGACATGTTTATATGTGCGTTGGAAGATACAGTTTCTACTGTCACTCACACTGCAAATGTTTTCTTTTTAAATTTTTTTAAATTCTTAGTTTAAAAGTTCAGTAAATGTGCTTCTCTCATTAAATAAGCTATGAAACAATTTAAATAGAAAATACCTTGATGAAAGTGACATGAGTGTGTCTTGATGGTACCATAGGAAATCTCTTAGCGGTTTATGTTCTCTAGCCATAATTCTCGTTTTTTTTCCGATAATTCCCTTGTTTGAGCTCCTGATGAGTAATTTCCAGAGGAACAGTGAAGAAACGAATTGTTTTATCCCTTTCAGATTTCTTTCTTTCTAGAACAACCAAATACACAACAAAACCTGCCCATGTTTCTCCTATGCTGCTGAAGTCAGTGACATATTGTGCCCGGTGTCATGGTGGCGTAGGTACAGTTGCTATAGGGGTCACGTGATGGTGCAAAGCCTCTATAGTCGGTTTTCCTCGAGTTTGTACCTTGCCCACGTTTACACTTTTCAGTAAACACAACATTCTGTTAAGATTACAACTCCAGGTATGTTTGTGATGAAGAAACAACATTATAACAGATCAGAAAATGACGTAATATGGACCTTTAAACTTATTCATGTTAAGACCTGGTTGTGTCCTAGTTTAGTTGTGGGTTAAAACTACTTTCAGTTCTAGTGTAGTCCTGGTTTAGATCTGGTTTAGTTCTGTTTAATTCCTGGTTTGGTGAGACTTGTTTTAGTTCTGGTTTAATTGAAGCCTTTATTTGTGTTTCAGTCTGAAGAGTACGTTTCGGAGCTGGAGGAGTCTATGATGGCCCAGTGCTCAGAGAGACTTCAGGAAAACGCCTCCAAAGAACTGTTCAAAGACTGCACCAAGTAAGACCTCCTTTTTATCGCATACACACACATGTTTTTGTCGGGTTAATACGAACAGAGGTGACAATATTCCAGTGTAAGTTAATGGGAACTTGAAGAGCTGCATGCGAACTTATTCAACCCGTCTTTATACTGCAGAAAGAAAAAAACATAAGAATTGTTAACTGTGCCAGTTATTATGCCCCAACAAACCCATTGTTTATTCAGTTAAATGCATTAAAATTACAGAACATAGTTGACCTAAATACAGCTGCTGTTATGTATAAATATATATATATATTTTGTCTCCAGTAGATTAGACTACTGTAATAGTCTGCTCACTGGTCTCACCAAACGAGCTGTGAGACGCTGCAGAACATCCAGAACGCTGCAGCTCGGGTCCTTACTCGAACTAGGAAGTACAAGCACATAAGTCCTGTGCTCAGGTCTCTGCACTGGCTTCCTGTGCCTCAGAGAATAGACTTTAAAGCAGCTCTGCTTGTGTACAAGTCTCTCCATGGCCGAGCACCAAAGTACATCTGTGACATGTTAGTGTCATATGAACCATCTCGCACTCTGAGGAGCTCAGGGACCGACCTCCTGCTGGTGCCCAGAGTCAGAACTAAACAAGGGGAGTCAGCGTTTCAGGTTCATGCAGCTAAAACCTGGAACAGTCTGAACATGTGAGACAGACTCTTCTGTGACACTGTTTAAATCCAGGCTCAAAACATTTCTGTTTAACTGTGCATATAACTGAAAGGTTTTCATTCTGCACTCTTCTCTCTAATTTATGTCTCTCTTTTTTCATTTTAATCTTCATGATTATTTATGTTTTGATTTGTTTTTATTATGATTTTAATGTATTTCTTATTCTGTAAAGCACTTTGAATTACTTTGTGTACGAATTGTGCTATACAAATAAACTTGCCTTGCCTTGCCTTGCCTATAAGGTTCATAGACTGTGTTTAGGTGAGATTCAAACCCAGAGACTTGTTATAATTTGAGAGGAACTGGAGTATATATATATATATATATATATAAAAAAAAATAAGGCCAGGACTAACAACAAAAGTAGCTGTATTTTTATTTTCTGGGGACCCATATTTTAAAAGTCACAAACTTTCACGACCCAAGTCAATAGACATTATTTGTAAATCACAAAATAAAGGTGGATTTGACCATTATTGAACATTATTGAGGATATTTTATTGTTGACTGAGTGATCGCGTCTCTCTGAACAATTAGTATTACTCCATAAGTCGCCTATTTGGGCATTAAATGTAGCCAATTTCTTTTTCAAGCTTTACCATCTTGTTCTTTTCTCCTGAGGTAGCTTTGGCAGAGCTTGGACTTGTGTTTTGTTATCTTTAGTCTTTTTTTTAACCTCTGTCTGTTCAGTTCTTACCTATGTACCATTTCAAGCTCTTCATTGGACTTGCATGATTTGAATTGCAATAAATAACTGGAAAAATTAGGGTGTTTTAAAACTTTTGACCGTTAGTGTATGTCCATTTATACATGGACTATTATTAAGTGGTGGGCCAACAGCATTTTTCTTTTCATTTACTTGTTTGTCACTCTTAAAAATGCACCATGACAGAGAATGAAAGCTGTGTTCGAAAGTCCACACTCTTCCCACTTAGGGCACTATTTAGAGGTCATGCCATTTTTAGGGGTGTCTTGTGGTAGCTGGACCAGTCCATATAAACCACAAGTGTCGGAAAAAAACAACTGTGTTTAGAGACAGGTCTTTAACTGGACAAGACACTTGAGAAGAAATTGTGGTTTATGGCACTGTGGATCCTGATTCTGAATAAAACACTCTTAAATAAATCGTTATGGTGTTAGGTGCAAGCGTGAGACCTTTACCTTTGCTCCAGGTGTTAAAAGAGCGATCATTTCCACATCAGACAGACAAGTAGAGTGTGAATCCAGCGTGCCAAAAGTTTGTGTGGTTATTATTAGTCCATGTGTCGGCCAGTGAGGGTGGACATTCGGACACACCCAAGTGTCTGGTAAAGTGTCAGCCAGTTGGTTTCCCATGATTCTCAGTGAATGTTCTGGGTTGGTCAAAAAGAGGTGACCCTGTCAGTAGCTTCTGCATTCATTAAAATCATGGACAGGCCCTTTAAGGTCACAAGAGCCATGAAAGTGAAATCACGAGTGGATTCACTGTTATTAATTTAATTACGACAGATTTATGCAACACAAAAGTCCAAAAAAGAATCAGTGTGATGCTAATTCGGACTGCCGCGGTTAGGGAATTTCTCGTTCGATGTGGTATAGCGGCTCAACAGCGCGGTATGCAGTGATACCGCAACAGCACTGAAAACTCTCTCCAATGATGCGCTTGCTGTGCATGTACCTTGGTTGTGGCGTGGATATAGCGTGTATAGCATGGGAGAAGTAACATTTGGCTTTGGAACAAGTGCTGCTGCATCTCAGCTCGGGTCAGAGTCCTGCACCAGATCGAGGACCTGCAGACTTAAAGGTTGTATGGAGGATTTTTTTTTGTTTCAAATTGTCAATGATAGCATTATAGAGATGCAGTAGCCTTGTAATTATGATGACCAAAAAAAAGAGAATAAAAATTCATCAACTCTGGATGTGGTGGGGCCAGCTAAAAATTTGCCAATAGATAACGACACTGCCTCGTTATCTGTTAGCTGACAGGCTGTCAATCAATCTCCCTACGTTTCTAGCGTAACTGACTTGCCTGCGCGCCGCCGGTACGTGGTTTACGTACGCCTGTCACGCAGTCCACAGACGCAAGCCGCACAGACGCTGTTTACTCCACCAACGCAACAGTTCTTAGCGGCTTTTTTTGACCTATATCTTCCTCGCAGTTAGCACAAAGTTTGTTGCAATGGCGACAAGAATCCAGGAGCAGTTAGCCGCAAAAGAAAGTCCGTTTTTGAGATTGCTGAAAGAAGAAGACAAGGGGAAAAGCAGCGAAGCCAAACTAAGGTGATTCTTGTAGATTCATTCCAGCGATGGCGCGACTGAAGCAGACGCAGGGTCTAAAGACTGACGCACTGGTCGCCAAATTACTCCTGGACAGGTCAAACTTCTGCTTATTATGAAAACGTACTTTATTTCCAAGAGCTAGACAAACGTTTTTTCAGGACACGAAAGCGATATCCTATGTCTGAAAACGTAATTTTCAAGGCAAAGAAAGAGTCCGCTTGCTGCTGCGTGTTGTAGCTAGTTCATTCGCACTGAATCTCCACGCAACCTTCTCTGCACCCCTTTCCTGCTCCTGTCCCCGCTGCCCGTTCCGCTCTTCCCCCTGCTCCTCACTTCTCCGGGCACGGAATCTCCGCGCACCGCTCCCCTCTCCTCTCTCTCCTCTCCTCTCTCCCTGCTCCGCTCTTCTCCCTGCTCCTCACTTCTCGTCCGCGCACGAAATGTCCGCGCCCCCCCTCCCCCGCTCCTCACTTCTCCTCCTCTTGCCTAACCAACACTGTAGTTAGTTGTTTACAAGTCATGTGCAGCGCACTGGCTGTTTCTGGCGTAAAGAGGAGGCGGGAGGAGGCGTTTCTACGTAGGGAGCTGTAGGGGAGGGGGGGTGGTTTCACGCATGCGCAACATTTGAAAAAGGACAAACAGTCGCTGGATTTCTCGTTCCTTGGAAAATCCTCTATACAACCTTTAAGAGAGCGAGAACAATGAGCTTGTGGAGCAGGTGTCCGCAAAGCGTGATCGGGCGAACGGCCGTACTTACCTCCGTGGGGTGCAGAGTTCTACACTGGTCCTTTCGCCTGTGGTCACCCAACAGTCTTCATGGGCACACCTTAGTCCTGGGTTAGTCCTGGGTTAGTCCTGGGTTAGTCCTGGGTTAGTTCTGGGTTAGTTCTGGGTTAGTTCTGGGTTAGTCCTGGGTTAGTCCTGGGTTAGTCCTGGGTTAGTTCTGGGTTAGTCCTGGGTTAGTCCTGGGTTAGTTCTGGGTTAGTCCTGGGTTAGTCCTGGGTTAGTTCTGGGTTAGTCCTGGTTAGTTCTGGGTTAGTCCTGGGTTAGTCCTGGGTTATCACGGGTATGTTAAGGGGTGGAATGTTAACGGGTCCTGGCAAGTGCGAGTCTCTAAAAATGGACCCGTGCAGGACTCTGTGTTGGGTCAGTTTGGTCACGTGCGGTGATCACAGTGGGCCTCTTAGTACCGCGTTGATTAATTTTTGCGTTTATCGCGACAGCCCTAGTACTAACAGACGCTAACACTTAAAGGTGCATTTTGTAACTCTGGTGACAGCCGCCTATTTGTCTCCATGGAGATGTTTTTGCTTTGTCTGGAATATTTCACATTATGGTATTAAACATTTCTATCTTCACGGAGACCAAACTAGACCAAGTTACAGGTCAGATCTGTGGAGAGGCAACCCCTTTCTATGTATTTTTGAGCTATAAACCCACCTGTAATTTAATAAATATAAGGTAGAGCTGTTTAATGTCATACTATGGAACTTTCCAGGCAGAGCGGTGACGTATCCATAAAAACAAGGAGGTGATGAACACTACACCAAAACGTTACACAGTGCACCTTTAAGTGTGATTAAATGCTTCACTTGTTGATGGAGCAAATCCAAACTTTTACACATAGGCGGAGTTAATGATCAGAAGGCAACAGTGAAATTACGGCTGCAAAATAAATCACAATCAAATCCAAATTTATATGGACGTAATTATCAATTAGTAACTCGCAAAGGCTACAGTTCTGAAGTAACATAATTTCCTCTATGAGCAACAAACTCTCCGGTCTTATTCTGCATAAAAACATGTTCTGAAATGTGATTCTTGTTATAGTTTGTCAGTTCAGATTTCAGTGTTTTGTCAGTGAGTGAGTGTACATGCGCTCGAGTATCCCGGTTATCCCGGGTTTATTGAGTATTCCAGTTACGCGAGTGTCCACGTAGATGCAGTATCCTGATTTCAGTAAACATGGATCTGCCAGTATCCCGGTTATGAGAAACGAGGATACTCTTACTGAGTTTTTCTGATAGTATCCAGGATACTGTGGCCTGTACACGCAGTATCCTGATTTCTCAAACCTGGAGCTATACTGAGCATGTGCGAACTAAAGTAACAGATACAGTAGGAGCAGTTACTTTACCAAAAACTCCTACTCAAACTCCTACCAGGACTTTTAAGTAATAATATTTTATACCTATAAACAAAATAAACCAGTCTACTGTTTAATACAGCCACCATTTAACTAGGGCTGGGTATTATTAAGAAGTTGCCGATACGATACCTCGATACAGTGCACGTTTGATTTAATACAATTTAATACGATATATTTCAGATCGATTCAATTCGGTTCAGTGAAAAACAAAGGCTAAATCATGGCTGTGATACTAACTCCACTAAGTCTGTGTTAAGATGAAAAACACCCATTTTACTCAAAACAGTGAAAACGTCAACACAGTTGTATAGGAGTGTGCAAAAATATCTAAATATCTGAATATCAACATATCGTAACGTTTAATGTGATGATACAGTATCGATATCGTGGGCTGCTGTATCCATATATCACCAAGAGTATTTTTTAGTATGTTTTAATAAATTATTTTGTTACAGAGCTACAGTTTTGTTGCTTCTTCACAGGAAGGAAACCTGTTTATGCGACACATTTGACATTTTCACTGTTTTTATGATTAAAATGTTTGTGTTTCATATGAACTTTGCACAAGAAGTGGTTTAAGACTTTTAGTATCACAGCCATGATTTAGCATTTATTTTGTATTGAGCCGTATCGAATTGATTTCAAATGTATTGTACAGAATTGAAAGCTCACTTTATCGAGATAAGTATCGTATTGTGCCCTATATATCGAGGTATGTATTGTCTCGGCAACTTCTTAATGATACCCAGCCCTACAGTTGGAGCTCTTACACAAAATAATTTAGTAAAATATCCCTAAAAATACTCTTGACGATACATTTCGACATTTCAGTATTTTTGCACAGCCCTAATCTTCATGGAGACCGAACCAGACCAAGTTAGAGACAAACCGGTGGCAGACCTGCAACCAAAAATTTCCACAATGTTCCACAGTGTTGCTGTTTGTTTCATCTCTTTCAGACTGATCCATGACCAGAAAAGTTCCACAGTGCACATTTAAATAGTTTAGGCTAGGTTTGGTTGCTTTATTCATACTCGTGGGTAAATTTGTTTTGCAGATTTGAGAGGCTGGTCCTACATTTCTTATTTCATTCATCCACGTTTTGTACAAAAAAACATGTATAAAAACACAATTACAAAATAAAGTGTAACAGTGCTCCAGTACAGAATGTTTTGTTCCATAAATAATTAATTAAATTAAATTCATTCTTCACCCTTGGCTAAGATGACTGATTAAATATATAAAAACACACGATTTTTACAAGACAGGGTACTAAAATCGTCAGATAAATAGATTACAATTTATTCATAAGTACGATAGCAGCTGAAGCTCTGAGTTTAGTGGATATTGGACGTCTTTTATAATACCCTGGGACGTCTTCTGTAGCTGTCTTGAGTACAGGGAGTTCAGGCGGCTCTGAGGATGGACAGTCACCGAACTCGCCCATTTTAGCTTTACCTGTCCACCAAATCCACACATTCCACCCTCACAAACTGCATCTCCGAAATAAAGTCCAGGCTGCAGTCAAACTTCCTTCAACTCAAACTGTGACAAAACTGAAATAATCATTGTCAGCCCCAAAACACTCAACAAAACCCTCAATAACCTCACCCTCTCCATCGACGGCTCCTCAGTCCCCTCCTCCTCCCAGACCTTGACCAGACCCTTTACTTTGAAGACCACATCAAACACATCACCAAAACCGCCTTCTGTTACCTCCTATAGAACAGTGTCAACATGGTTCTTTCTACACGGCATAAGGACAACTTCCTCAGACAGTGAAGGTGTTGGTGCTTCTTTTAGACACAGCAGTACAATTCTCGTCAAAGCTCCATTTATAATCAAAGAGTCTCACACTCAGCTGACTGCCCCTTTACTGTCATTTTGAGGCGCACTCTTTCGAAAGTCAATAATCATATCCTTCGTTTTGGACACGTTTAGGTGTAGATATGACTCTTCACACCATTTTACAAATCTCACGTTGCTGTGTGTTTTGTCTCTTTCAGACTGATCCATGACTTCCTGTCCATGGCCCCGTTCGCAGACTACCTCGACAGCATGTTCTTCAATCGTTTCCTGCAGTGGAAGTGGCTCGAGAGGTGAGTCCCAGCGCTCAAATCTGAACAGGAAACCAGAGTCAGACTGATACTCCGCGCCGACGTCAGGTTACAACGGAGAAACAATGCACATGTTAGTGATAACGACCAAAAAAAGTGTTAATATTGTCCGAAAACTCAAGAAAAAAAATACTAAATTGATTTGTAAACATGGCATTATCAGGCATTTCTGATCAATACGAGCATTCATGGTCCTGTTTCATTTTCAACAAAAAGGTGACAGGGACTTTTTTTTAAAAAATCTGTGTATCATTCGTTCATTTGTTTTTCAAAATAAAACCAATAATAAGAAAATTGAAAAAAAAAAAAACTATTTTCTTCATTATTTGTCTCCAAAACCAAAATGAAAAAACGGATGATGATTAATTTTTTTTAGTTTTTGATTTTATGTTTAAATTAATAATCGAAAAAATGGATAACGGACGTTTCCCGTTTCCGTGACTTAAACTGTGACGCCGGACTTTTGCGCCGCACGGACTGAACCAGGACTGAACCAGGACTAAAACAGGTCTAAACCAAGACGAAATCAGGATTAAACCAGTCTCAGTAACGGTCTGGTCCCAGTCTCAGTCCCTGTCTTGGTCCTGGTCCTGGTCCCGGTCTCGGTCCTGGTCTCAGTCCCAGTCTGGTCCCGGTCTCGAGCCAGGTCTCGGTCCTGGTCTCGGTCTCGGTCCTAGTCTCAGTCCCAGTTTCAGTCCCAGTCTCAGTCTCAGTCTACACAGGCGCACCTCCGGGCCTGTCCTGGTTCAGTCCTGGTTCAGTCCTGGTTCAGTCCTGGTTCAGGCCTGGTTCAGACCTGGTTTAGACCTGGTTTAGACCTGGTTTAGACCTGTTTTACTCTTGTTTCAGTCCATATGCGGTGCAAAAGTCCAGCATCGCAGTTTAAGTCACGGAAACGGGAAATGATTGTACATAAATGTATCCAAAATAAACTATATATCCAGCTGTTCTACAATCTCTACATTTAAAAAATAAAATAAATATGCTTATTTATATATATAAAAAAAACAACAAGATACTCTTTATTAAGCTTTAATCATTTCAACTTGATTATGAGCTTGAAGATTGTTTGACACAAAAATTTAAATCACAATCACATGTTTTTTAAAACTTTCCTTAACACTTCAAATTTCTCTGATCTAGCAAAGATTTTAAAACTTATATCAGGTTATTCATCTTGTTTTCAGATTTATTAACTACTTGCTAGACCAGAGACTGCGTAATTTTAGTGCAGAGGTTGTTTATTTTAAGATAACTTGTCAATTTGCTGCATGGACAAATAATTTCACTATTTTTAAGTCACTTTCTGATAGATTTAAGTGATTATATTTTAAATTATAGCCAAGTTTTCTTGCAGTGTGTCTCTGCGCTGGTCCCTCTGGAAGTGGCCCAGATGATGTGTTTATTTATGTATGCAGCAGTTTGCCTGGAGCTCTGGTTTAATATTTACGATCTGACCTTAAATATGAGCGCTGGAGTCTGACCCATTTGCCTTCACTTTACCAGGAGAAAAAGACCTGAGATCTGAGAGAATGTCCCGTCGAAATGGTTCAATAAATATGTAAATATTTAGCAGTGAAGATTGAAATGATGCAGAAGATATAACATTTTATTTTTTATTGTTAATCGCTACAGCAGTGGTTAGTTTTTCATCATTTTAAAACCCGTGCATCTGTTTTTTGGGGCAAATGCGAAACCAGTTGCACCTCTGTTTATCACCCCAATATTTTAGACCGTGTACAAGCGGTCTACGATTAAATAATAATAATGATTCTGCATTTTTTCATAATTAATGGCCCTATATTACGCAAAATCTTGTGAACTTTAAGCCATGTTATAATCTTGTTACCGCCTCAAAAATTTACCTGGAGTTGTTTTTTTTCTTTTTACTTTTAATTAAAGACTAGACTTAGACTTAGACAAACTTTATTGATCCACAAGGGAAATTATTTGACTAAAAACAAAACACCAAAACTTAAAACATAAACTCCCCACCCCTAACCCACCCTTTTCCCAACACACACACACAAATTTAATAAAATAAAAGTAATGTGGTAGTGCCGCATAACCATACTTGCAGGGCCCCCTTATATATATATATATATATATATATATATATATATATATATTATATATATATATATATATATATATATATATATATATATATATATTATATATTATATATATATATATATATATATATAATAATATATATTATATATATATATATAATATAATTTAATTTCTCTTTCTCTTTTTTTTTAAAAACGTATTTTTATTAAATCATTTTTGGGGCAAATCCTGTAAAACATAGTCATCCATTTGAAATATAGGCTTGAATAGATGCATCAAGAATTTCAAAGGTGTTTCTTGGTGAACAGCTGGTGCCTTTCGCTTTGGCGTTGACTTTTTAAATTCGTAACCAAGCTTGAGTGAGGGATCGGGTTTTTGTTTTGATGGCGCTCCACATACAAAATGTTCGTCACAAACTGGGGATGATTTCTTAGGCAGTCACAGGTTATGTTTTTCGTCTTTCCTGTGGATCAATCCTTCTCTTCGCCTTCGCCTTTCACTATTTTTCAATCCGTTGGGAAGGGAAATAGTTTGAACGGAGGTTTACAGTCACACACATCTGATTCCCTTTTGCATTTATGGAGTTCGCAAACAAATTTCTCGAGCTGTTTTCAGCTGTTAGGACATCTAACAAGCACACAATTACGATGTTTGAATCCCAAAACTAAAATATGACTATATCAGAACCAGAAACAAAAGCGATATGGTTCAAAAGACTTGAAAAGATCGGCTTTGACAATAGACACATCCCACTGGGAAATCAAACATGGTGGCTTGATGCTCACTTTTTCAGAAAATCCTTCCCAGTATGCACTGTGCAATGACAGGAAGTCTTCATTTGTAACGTTGCAGTTATTTGCTCCATAAGATACACATCCTTTATTTTACTTTTCCACTGGAGTTTAGTTGGAGTTGTGTTTTGTTTCATTCACACATGTTTGAGTAACCCTTTATTATTAATTTGTCTACATCTCCAAAGCTCAAAATGCTCTGTTCCACCTTGTGATGTCATGATGTGGTAGTTTCCAAGTTAACATCTACATTTTACCTTTAGTTCAGTAGAGACAATTCCAGGGCTGAAAAATTATCCAAAAGATTCTAGTGAAGGTGTGTGGCGCTTAAAAACACAGCGGAGCACTTGCTGTATTACCACATGACATCACAAGGTGGAACAGAGTGTTTCCTTTTTGCCAGACAAACTCTAAATATGCAGGTTTGTGAGTTAAACATGTGTGAATGAAACAAAACACAACTCCTGGTCTGTTTGTGATGAGAAAACAACATTATACACATTATCAACTTTAATTTAACGTCTCTCTCTTTTTAATTTTGTCATGATTATTAATGTTTTGATTTGGTTTTATTGTGATTTTAATGTATTTCTTATTCTGTAAAGCACTTTGAATTATTTTGTGTACAAATTGTGCTATACAAATAAACTTCCATGGCCCTTGTCTTAAAAAAAGATCATAAAATAGTGTAATATTTTAATAAACTAAGCTGTATTTTTTATCTTTCTTCAGACAACCTGTGACAAAGAACACTTTCCGACAGTACCGAGTTTTGGGTAAAGGAGGCTTCGGCGAGGTGAGTATCAGAAATGAAATACTACCTTGTACTTGTACTACAAAGGGCTGATTTTCTGAAGTACATTAATGTCATTTGTGAAGTACTTTCCCCGAGGCAGCGTGGGTATTTTCTGTGTGGATGGTATTGTGAGAGGAAGTGAAGCTTGTTAAGGTCTAAGTCATGAGAGTAAACAATAAATCAGAAGTGTTTACACCTTTTTAACCTTTCTGTCTTCATGGAGACCAAACCAGACCAGGTTACAGGTCAGATCTGTGGAGAGGCGACACCACTCACAGTCAGAATGTTAGTTTTTCTCAATATTTTTGAGCTGTAAAACCCACTGTAATTGAATAAACGTAAGGCAGAGCTGTTTAATGTCATACTGTGGAACATTTCAGACAGAACAATGTGTAACTTTTTGGTAGAGGGTCCGTCACCTGCTTGTTTCTATGAAGATGTCATTGTTTTGTCTGGAATGCTCCACAGTGTGATATTAAAGTGCCCATCTCATGTAAAATAACTCTCTTCACATTGTATCTTCTACACATAAACAAGCACAATTTGGGTTTTGGAATATCCATTACACAATAGTTGAAATCTTACTGATTTGTTGGAGGCAGTCAGAGACCAGGAACTATGAAAGACCGACTATTGCTCCTCCCCCGCCCCCCCATCCTGAGAAAGCACAGGCTCCTCCCTCCAAATGTGACATAGGCTCTGAGTGAGCCGCCCTTCCTCCGCCCATCTCAGGGAGGGAGGGGGAGACAGACGTGCACTCTGATAGTGGTAGGAATAAACTTTTATTCATCATGGCGATACAGCGCGTTCAGCCGCATGTGTTGGACCCGGAATCGGACGAGGACTTTGAGGAGCACGAACCTCAAGCACCGCGTCTGCATCAGCTGAACATTACTGATTGGTAAAGTATTAATAAACGCTGGTAGATAAACTTATTATATCGTGTGAACACTGCAGGGTAGAACAATGAGCTTATGCTGTCGCTTTTGTTTAGATGTTCATGTGGGAATTGTCAGTCGAAGCGGGTGGAGGTGGGGCGGAGGTGGTGGAGCAGGGGAGGGGGGCGGGTGTGATGCGCTTTCTGCTACTTCAAACACGTCATAGCTATATCTGCCACGTCATCGTTGTAGCAGCTTTAGTTCATTGTCACGTGGGAGGGTGGCAGAAATACACTGCAATTTGTTAAAAAACGCTGAATCAATCTAAAAACCACTTCGGCGACATATACAAGGCCCACACATCACTCTTAGAAGGTAGAAAGCTCTGAAAAGTTGATTTTGCATGAGATGGGGCCTTTAAACAGCTCTACCTTACATTTTCTCATTTACAGGTGAATTTATAGCTCAAAAATACTTCGAAAAACAGATTCTGACTGTGAGTGGGATTGCCTCTCCGCAGATCTGACATGTAACTTGGTCTGGTTTGGTCCCCATGAAGATGCCATACTGTGAAACATTACAAAGCCATAACATCTCCGTGGAGAAAAGCATTTGACAAACTCATAAAAATCTGTCATACGACTTTCAGTTCATTTAGTCCTGGTTTGACATGGTTCATTTCCACTCTCGAGGCATTTTCAGGGCAAAATACTAAAGACTAAAACATTTCATTGATTTTACAAATGTAAACACTTTTGATTTATTGTTTAATCCCATGACTTAGACCTTAACAAGCTTCATTTCCTCTCACAATACCATCCACACAGAAAATACTCAACACTGCCCTGGGAAAAGTACTTCACAAAGAACATTTTTGTACTTCGCAATTAAATTGGGTGGGATTATAATTACAGTAAATGTGTAGTTTTAGTGACACAATGCACACATGAGCAAAAACTGCCAAAAAAATGCTTAAAAATCATCTGAAAACTCAAGAAAAAATGCAAAATGGATTTAAACAGCACATGTACAGAAGCTGGTGATCAATACGAGCGTTCATGGTACAATTTTTTTCAATAAAACCATACAAATCAGCTCACCTGTTGTAGTTCCAGTTAAATCTGCGTTTTAAGGTTGGATTGTGTTAAAATAAAACTCTGATTAAAGTCTAACGTGAGTAACAGAGCTTCAGACAGAGCAGTGCTTTCTGTTAGCTTCACACCCCCAGGGAATGTTCACAACATCAGCTTAGAGTGACCAGATTTTCAAAATAAAAAACTGGAAACATCCGCGTTATTTTGGTGGTTGGGAGCAGAGCTGGGGACTTGAGACTTAACTTGATCAAATGGACTAAGACTTTGGATTCGACTTGGACTTGAAGGTCAATGGGACGACTTGGGACTTGACTCAGATTTGAGGCCTGTGACTTGAGAAACTTGATGCTTCTCCTGGAAAAATATATGTTTTTATAAAATACTTTTGTCTTTACTGTTGATAAATGCAGAGGGGCCCGGTCAAGCAGAAGTAAACATCAAGGCCAAAAATTCAAGTTAATGCATCTGATATAAAAATGTATTGAACAGATACATATGTACTCTAGTTTATGAAACTGTTGACCTTTTTTCTGTACCATTTTTGGTTCTAAAGTTACATGCGTTTTAAACAGACCATGTATGAAACATGGAACAAAAATTATTTCCCAAATTTCAAAGACCTGCAAATCATGTAAATAAATGGATGTATTTCATCATATCTTGTGTTATTCCATCTTTGAACTGTTGATGAAGGTACATGATAAAAAAAAAAAGTATTTAAAATGATAAAAATTTGCTTGGAAGGACTGACATATTTTATAGAAATAGTTCACTTTCATTTTGAAGTAATATTAAAGTATTCGGAAGAAAAAAGCTGACAAATTATCCAAAATCATGCACCTTCTACTTGTTGCACAATTTTCCCTCCGTTACTTTTTCCTCCGTTACCATGACCTTTGTTAATAAAAAATCTCATGACTCAAAAAGTAAGAGGTTTTTCAACCTAATCTTGTACCATATGGTAGAAAACTATATGAAGCAAATATTCAAACCAGTTTGTTAAGGATATGTAAGTGAGAACCAAGAGTTATCACTGTTTGGATTTATTGCCCAAAAAGTGCTGCATATTTCATTTCCTTCCGATCGTAATAATTCACACTAAGATCTTGTCAAGACATTTAAAAAGAAAAAATGTGCATTTCTAAATACTCAGATATAAATATACCATGACTTTTTAAGTACAATTTAGTTTAAAAGTCATATAAATTGCAAAAATCTAAGCTATATTTTGTACTTTGGTTTAAAGACTTGAAATGACTTGAAGCTCAAAGCAGACGACTTGGACTTGACTTGGACTTATGGGCCAGTGACTCAAGACTCGACTTGGACTTGCCTGTATTTGACTTAGGACTTGACTCGGACTTGAGGTCAAAGACTTGAGACTTATTTGAGACTTGCAAAACAACAACTTGGTCCCACCTCTGATTAGTATTAATAAAATTGTGAAATGAGTGTGTAATTAAGGGGAATTGTTGTGCAGAGACCATTCATGACGAACATGAATCTGTATAGTCACATTTTTAAGCAGCTTTTCTGCATTTTACATATACAAATGACAATTTATGCCTCTCTTTACTGTTGGCAGGTATAAAATTGGTCAAAAATAGAGACACCTGGGACATTTCTTGTATAAAACTGGGACAAATCACTGGTTTTGGACAAATCTGCATGGACAAGGAGACACAGGGCTCAAAACTGGGACTGTTCTGGGAAAATGGGGAAGTCTGATTACAATATAATTGTACATTTTGCTCATCTCAGGAACTTAAATTAACACCTCATTCGATTCACGTCATTTGGTTTTGACGTGGGACCCCAAACAGAGCTGTGCTGTTTTCAGCGTGAACCAGCGTCACATTCTCAGTAATGTCCTTAAAAATATCCACAAACTGATTTATCAGAATATTATTACTGATAAAAGTTCAAAGCAAAAATCACAAGATCTGCTGTTGAATTTGCACACCCTTTTTGACCCTTCAGGGAAAGATGTTTTTGGAAATACATTTGTTTTGAATCTGTTGCCAAGATAGAGATAAAACCAGGACTATATCGGACTAAATATGAAACTAAAAATGTGAAAAACAGAACTAAGATTTGTGCTTTATGACAGGAAAAAGGTCTGGAATGTTTCACCATCAGGGATTAAACATTTCAAGACAAAATTCCCACACAATTGCTCACACATGGAAAAAAATATACCATAACATTTTTTTCTCCATTTGGATTGAACAAAAAAGGTTAAGTGCTGGTGGGCTGCGTCTTTTGAGAAGCTGTAGTTCCAAAAAAAGAACTGATAGAACGACAGCAAAAATATTAAATGAAGTAGACAACTTTGGGAACTAAATCGGACTATTTACATATCGGAAATTATATAATATTATTGTCTTGTTCTCATAGACCCAATCTCGTATCTCCCCTCGTCCTGTGGAAATTGTCATCCCATCCCTACTTTTCTGTCTTCATGGAGACCAAACCAGACCAAGTTACACGTCAGATCTACGTGTTTTCGAGCTATAAAACCACCTGTAATTGAATAAATGTGAGGCAAAACTGTTTAATGCCATACTGCGGAACATTTCAGGCAGAGCAATGGCGTATCCCCAACCAAAATGTTATCTAGTGCCAGAGGTGGGACCAAGTCGTTGTTTTGTTTTGTTCGCAAGTAAGTCTCAAGTCTTTGACCTCAAGTCCAAGTCAAGTCAAACACAGGCAAATCCAAGTCGAGTCTCCAGTCACTGGCTCATAAGTCCAGGTTAAGTCCAAGTCGTCGTCTGCTTTGAGCTTCAAGTCATTTCAAGTCTTTAAACCAAATATAGCTTAGATTTTAGCAAGTTATATGACTTTTAAACTAAATTGTACTTAAAAAGTCATGGTATATTTATTTAAGAGTTGTAGAAATGCTACTTTTCCTTTTTAAATGTCTTGATGAGATCTTAGTGTGAATCATTACGGTCAGAGCAGAAAGTAACAGATTTTTTTTTTGTCATGAAGTCCACACATGTTCTGTGTAGTTCCCTGTTTTACTGTATTGTACTGTATATTACTGTAGTACATTTGAGGATAAATCAGTTCCACAGTACATCAGTTACATCCAAAGTAACAAACAGAGAAGTGGGAGGGACATGTTCCAGTTTGTTTCTTTAAAATTAATTATCATATTTATCAACTGTAAAGGGAAAAGTATTTTCTAAAAACATATATATTTTTACGAGAAGCATCAAGTTTCTCAAGTCACAGGGCTTAAGTCCAAGTCGCAAGTCATTCACCTTCAAGTCCAAGTCGAGTCCCAAGTCTTAGTCCATTTTATGAAGTCAAGTCTCAAGTCATAAAAATAGTGACTCAAGTCTGACTCGAATCCAAGTCACGACTTGTAAGTCCCCACCTCTGCCTAGTGCACCTTTAAAAGCCGAACGGTAGTGCTTGTGTCTGCTCTGTCGTTATAATCTGTGACACCCGAGAATCATTCTGTTATAATTTTGCACATTTTAAATCTCAGTGTTGATCTAAAATGGCTTAATAAAAAAAACAAGTGTGCTGAATCTGTGTTAGAAAACTGTGGTGCCCAATGGGAGCTGACACCACCGTAAAATGCAATTTTTTTTTTCCATTTGTACCAAAATGACTACACAATGCTCCCGAATCCTACATGTGTCAGTTAAGAAAATAAAATTGGAGAATGGTGGATTGGCGATATGGCGTCTTGAAAATAAGTAATTAAAGATGACACAAACATGCACAAATCACTCCAAATACAACTTCAGGTGCGTAAACAGTGAGAGGAAACAACTATAACATGGTTAAAAGCTCTGAAAAGTCCATTTTGTGGAATAAATCTGTTTTAAGTCCTGGCTTAGACCTGGTTTTGTGGCTGTATAAGATCCACTAAACAAGTATTAAACCAGGACTGAGCGAGGTCTAAATCAGGTCTAAAACATGTATGTATTTGTTTGCCTGTCTGTAATTTCCCCTCACTTCCTGTGTGTGATGTCACTTCCTGTCTGTGTCCAGGTGTGTGCGTGTCAGGTGCGAGCCACAGGTAAAATGTACGCCTGTAAAAAACTGGAGAAGAAGCGGATAAAGAAGAGGAAAGGGGAAGCCATGGCTCTGAACGAGAAGCAAATCCTCGAGAAAGTCAACAGTCGCTTTGTGGTACGTGATCAGCTCAGCCAGCAGGGCGGCGCTGTTCAACACTGTTTATTAAAATACACTTCAGAGTCACTTGTTTTGAATTGACAGTGATCAGCTTCTTGTGTTTTAATCTAGAGGTGAACAGTAGAGAAGAATTTGAATGGATGCAATTAGCAAATCATAAAAGTTTAAGAACCACAATTTCCTCCACAAACAATTAAATATTCTGTCTGATTCTGCCTGACGTGGCTGTAAATGTCTTTGTCGAGGTTCAAGTATCAAACAAAATGTGAGTGGACAGTGGACAGAACGGTAAAATGAAACACAAAGGTACAAATAACACCTGAGGCCATTTCTCAACTGTTTATTTATTTACATAAAGCTACACTGTGTAACTTTCTCGAGGTGACACGAGGTTAGGGCTGGGTATCATTAAGAAGTTGCCGACATGATACATACCTCGATACAGTGAGCTTTCGATTCGATACAATATATATTTCAAATCAAATCGATACGGTTCAATAAAAAATAAAGGCTAAATCACAAAAGTCTTTGTTAAATTACTTCTTGTGCAAAGTTCATATGAAACATCCATTTTAATCATTAAAACAGCAAAAATGTCAAATGTGTCGCATAAACGAGTTTCCTTCCTCTGAACAAGCAACAAAACTGTAGTGCTGTAACAAAATAATGTAGTAAAATATACCAAAAAATACTCTTTGTGATATATCGATACATCAGATCACGATATCGATACTGTATCATTACATTAAACGATACGATATATCGATATTTCAATATATTTGCACACCCCTAATGGAGATGGACACGTTTTATGCCATACTGTTGAATATTATTAGCCTGATTCATCCTCGCAGCATTAGGATTTGTTCACTCGATGGTAGGCGGGGACTTTTTTTGTTTAACCAATCGCTGCTATTTGGTTGCGACATATGTAATGAGCTGGAACGCTCAGTGGTGTCCAAGTAATTGTGGCACAGCAGCCAACACAGCAAAGAGTGAACATGTCTATCCATGATCATTGTTGTTTCTGTGAGGTGAACTTGTGAATTAAAGGTGCAATAAAAAATGTGAAGTTTGTATTTGACAAAGAGAGTCCAAAGGAGGATAGTGTATGCAGTCTGCTGTCGCAACTCGGGTTGGTTCAGCTTTTCACTGATTGGCCAGTGCGCGATCTACAAACTTCCAGGGTTCTGTCTTGTGTATTCTGATTCCTGACTTAGTCGCTGGAGAGAAATTAAACTGAGTGGAGCCACTAGTTGACACCAGCCTGGCTAGAATATTATAACCTAAGGAAAAGAATTTCCATGGAAATAAACATGTGGAGCTCCTCCAGGCCAAATAAGTTAGGTTTGTGGAGATGCAAGCCAGCTCACTATAGGCGAGTTTCATTGTTGACAAAAGCGCATGTTACATGCTGGGAATTATTTTGGTTGGCGGCAAGAAACACTAATTCAACATGACGAACGGAGCGAGAAAGCACGTAAAGGGTATTGATCCCGGTTATTTATCCACTCTAACGGCAGAGGACCCAAGACCATTTGACCAGAAATTGGTCATAAGCATCGATGGACGACAAATCACCCTTTTCAACCCCTCCAAAAGGTGGACCAAACCAAATTTCTGTCATAATCGCCAACTACCTGGACAAATATTCACTTCAGCGATATCCACAATGACTTGGTGGAAACTCCTGGGCCATTCACAGCAGAAAAGATGAAAACCTCCAAGAGTCTCGATGTGTTGTTGAACTTGTTGGAGTCCACGGTTTGTTAGGATCTTCTACGTTTTCTCTGCGAATGTTTGAAAGCCATTTAATTCACCGTTAGTGGTTCTTTTCACTCAGAATACGAAAAAGACATTTTCCTTCTTCCGTGCTTCTATTTGTGCATCCGATAATGCAGCAGGAATTTACCATTATCGGGGATAAATATGCGAGATTACGCACTGTGTTTGACCGCTGTTGTGTTTCTTGCCTCTGACCCAAATATTTCCCAGCATGCATCGCAGGCTTTTATTAACAATGACATCAGGTGAAACTCGCCTATACGGACACGTACTTTTTCAGTGGAATAAGAAAATTTTTTAAAAGCTTTTTTGGTATATTCAATTCAATTCAAAAGTATATTGTCTTTTTTTATATGTTCTCACTCTCATTCTTTTAAATTAAATAATAATAAAATGAAAGGAAAAGTCCAAAGTTCTTCTTGAGGGAAACACAGATTCGTAGCTTCCTGTCTGCCTGGTGGTTATAGAGGGGAGAGAGTTCAGCATCCTAACAGCCTGGAGGATGAAGATGATGGTGCGAGAACAGAGGCTCCTGTACCTGTACCAGATTTTCTGCTGTATAATTGTATTTGGACATACTTTCCAAACATCATGTGAATGAGATTTTTTGAACAATATATCCTCACCTTCACCTCCTACATGAGACTGTACAATGTCGCCCCCTGCAGGTGAGTCTGGCGTACGCCTACGAGACCAAAGAGGCGCTGTGTCTGGTGCTGACGCTGATGAACGGAGGAGATCTGAAGTTCCACATTTACCACATGGGGGAGGCGGGCTTCAGCGAGGACAGAGCTGTGTTTTACGCGGCAGAGATCTGCTGCGGGCTCCAGGATCTCCACCAAGAACGCATCGTCTACAGGTCAGAGCGGGCACAGCATCTACACACGGACTGTCCACTTTTGGAAAACGATTCTTCTTTTGACCAGGTTTAAAGGGACATTGAAATATTGTCATTCATTCGTTTTCTTTTTATAGGGATCTAAAACCAGAGAATATCCTGCTGGATGATCACGGTGAGTAAAGACTTTTCAACCTTCTTCTGTTATTTTTAACTTCAACACTGCTCTCCAGTAAAAAAAAATCTGCTGGATCAGAGGTTTTCAGTAGGTAAAGGGAGGCGCGACCCAGGTGGACTAAACCAGGACTGAACTAGAACTGAGTGTCAGGACCATGGATCTATTAAAATAACGGGCCCGGGTCCGGTCCCGCACAGACCTCTAGCTCGGGGTTCTCCCTCTCTCTCTCTCTTTCACGACTAAGATTAGCCCTAGTTTAGTCCTGGTTTACTCATGGTTTAGACCTAGTTTAGTCGTGGATTAGTCCTGGTTTAATCCTGGTTACTCGTGGTTTACACCTGGTTTAGACCGGGTTTAATCCTGGTTTAGTCGTGGTTCAGTTCTGGTTTAGGCCTGGTTTAGTCTTGGTTTAGTCCTGGTTTAGACCTGGTTTAGACCAGGTTTATTCCTGATTTAGACTTGATTTAGTCCTGGTTTAATCCTGGTTTAGTCCTGATTTAGACTTGGTTTAGTCCTGGTTTAATCTTGGTGTAGTCCTGGTTTAGTCCTGGTTTAGACCTGGTTTTGTCCTGGTTCAGTCCTGTGTCTTACTGTTGTTCAGTGATGTTAAAAGTCGCCTCAGTTACGTGCATGAAGTTGGAAATTATTTGTTTGAAGTTGCAAAAATCGTTTATGAAAGCACAAAAATATTAAAATACTCTGAAACTCATCATCACCAGAAACACAAAAGCTCCATTTACTTCTCAAATGTTGTACTGATGATACGGTGCATTTAGATTTTCTGCCAGTAGAGGGAGACAGAGTGCAGCTTTTAAAAATACCTCTTACAGGTTGGAGCACGAATTTGATTTTATTTTTATTTCATTTTTTTCAATTTCACCATTTTTGTTACTGATTCAGGCTAATTTTACAGCCCTATCTAGATGCCTAACCACATTTTTGCTGTGTTGATTTCATTGTGCACTGGTGTTTTTATGTTTTTAATTCTTTTTCGTGTTCTTCTCTGGCGCAGGACACATCCGTATCTCCGACCTGGGCCTGGCCGTTCATATTCCCGAAGGAGAGACGATAAAAGGCCGTGTGGGGACGGTGGGATACATGTGTGAGTCTGCGTCATCAAACACAAACTCAAAAATGTCAAGTTTCACATCAAAATATATTTAAAAAAATACATCGTTTTAGTGCAAAAAATAATTAAAGTTCTGTATTATTCTGTTTTCTGATCTGTTATAATGTAGTTTTCTCATCACAAACAGACCTGGAGTTGTGTTTTGTTTCATTCACACTTTTAACACGCAAAACACTCTGTTCCACCTTGTGATGTCATGTGTTAATACAGGAAGTGCTCCACCTTGTTTCTAAACATAGATTTTACTCTTGTACATATTGTTTTTGCAGTAACTTATCTAATTCCTTCCTCTCCCCCTGATTTGATCTCTCTGCTCTCTTCCTCCTCCATCCTCCTTCTCTTCTTTTTTCCATCGCTCTCCCGTTTCTCTCTCTCCCTTTCTCTCCTCACCCCTTCCCTCTTTTCTTCTTTCCATCTCTCCCTCTCTCCTCCACACTCTTATTCTTTCCTTCTCGCTCCTGCTTCTCTTTCCCCGACTCTCTCCTCATCCACACTCATCTGTCTTCTTTTTTCCTACTCTCTCCTCTCCCTCCCTCTCTCCTTGCTCTTCTTTCCTTCTCCCTCCTGTTTCTCTCTCTTCCCCCGTCTCTCCTTACCCACGCCCATCCATCTTCTTTTTTCCTACTCTCTCATCTCTCTCTCCTCTCTCTCCCTCTTCTTCCCCTCTCTCCCTTCCTTCCACTCCCTCTCTCTCTCTCCTCACCCACACCCATCTCTCTTCTTTTTTTACTCTCTCATCTACCTCCCCGTCTCTCCCTCTCTTCCTCTTCCCTCTCCCCCCTCTCCTTCTTCTCTCCTCTCTCCACCTCCCTCCCTCTCCTCTCCTCTCCTCCCCTCTCCTCCCTCCCCCGTTCTCTCTCCTCCCTCTCCCTCTCTTCTTCTCTTCTCTCCCTCCCTCCCTTCCCCCTCTCTCTCTCCTCTCCTTCCTCTCCTCCCCCTCTTACTCCTTCCTGTCTCTATCCTCCTCACTCCCTCCTCCTCTCCTCCTTCCGCTTCTCTCTCCCTCTCTCTTTTCTTTCCTTCTCTCTTCTTCTCTCCTCCTTCTCTCCCTCCCTCTTCTCTTCTTCTCTCTAACCCCCCTCTTCTCCCCCCTCCTCTCCTTCCTCTCTCCCTCTTCTCTCCATTCCCTCCTGCTCCCTCTTCTCTCTATCTCCTTCTTTCGCCCCCCTCCCTCCCTTCTCTCTCCTCTCTCTTCCTCTCTCCCTCTCTTCTTTCCTTCTCTCTCCTGTTTCTCTCTCTTTCCCCTCTCTCTTCTCGCCCACCTCATCCATGCCCACCATCTCTCTTCTTTTTTCCTACTCTCATCCCTCTCTTCCTCTCTCCCCATCTCTCTCCTCCCTCCCTCTCTCCTCTCTCTCCTTCTCTCTCCTCCTCCTCTCCTCTCTCTCCCTCCTCTCCCTCTCTCTCTCTCTCTCTCTCTCTCTCCTCTCCCTCCCTCTCTCTCCTCTCCTCCTCCCTCTCTCTCTCTCTCTCTGTCCTCTTCCTTCTCTCCTCCCTCTCCTCTTCCCTCTTGTCTCTATCTCTCTCCTCTCCTCCTCCCTCCCCCTCTTTCCTCTCTCTCCCTCCCTCTCTCTCTTCTTTCCTTCTCTCTCCTGTTTCTCTCTCTTCCCCCTCTCTCTCTTCTCACCCACCTCAACCATGCCCATCATCTCTCTTCTTTTTTCCTACTCTCTCATCTCTCTTCCTCCCTCCCTCTCCTCTCCACCTCACTCTCTGTCCTCTTCCCTCCCTCCTCCTCCCTCCCTCTCCCTCTCCCTTTTCTCTCTTCCTCCATTCCTCTCCCTCTTCTTCCCCCCTCTCCCTCTCTCCTCTCCTCTCTCTCTCTTCTTTCCTTTTCTCTCCTGTTTCTCTCTTTCCCGCTTTCTCTTCTCACCCACCTCACCCATGCCCACCATCTCTCTTCTTTTTTCCTACTCTCTCATCTCTCTCTTCCTCTCCTCTGCTCCTCCCTCTCCCTCTTCTCTCTCTCTCCTCACTCACCTCACCCATACACACCATCTCTCTTCTTTTTTCCTACTCTCTCATCTCTCCCTCCCTCCGTCTCCTTCTCTCTCTCTCTTCAGCTCCGGAGGTTGTGGATAACGAGCGTTACACGTTCAGTCCGGACTGGTGGGCTCTGGGCTGTCTGATCTTCGAGATGATCGAGGGACAGTCTCCATTTCAGCAGAGAAAGAAAAAGATAAAGAGGGAAGAGGTGGAGCGGCTGGTGAAGGAGGTGGAGGAGGAATACTCGGAGAAGTTCTCGGAGGACGCCAAGAACATCTGCAAACAGGTCAGAGGCTCGGATACAGATCAGATCTGTGGAGAGGCGACGCTGCTCAGTCAGAACGCTTGGTTTTCTAGGTATTTTTGAGCAAAAATATCAAGAATTTCGGACTTCCAGTCATTGTGCAATTCATACTGGGAAGGACTTTCTGAAAAAGTGAGCATCAAACTGCCATGTTTGATTTCCCAGTGGGATGCGTCTATTGACAAAGCCGATCTTTTCAAGTCTTTTGAACCATATCGCTTTTGTTTCAGGTTCTGATATTGTCGTATTTTAGTTTTGGGATTCGGACATTGTAATTGTGCATACAAAATTTTCGCTGCAAACTCTGATGATTTCTTAGGCAGCCAAAGGTTTCCTTTTTGGTTCTTCCTGTGTATCAATCCTGCCCATCGCCTTCGCCTTTCACTATTTTTCAATTCTGTTTGGAAGAGAAACAGTTTGAACAGAGGTTTGCAGTCACACACATCTGATTCCCATTTGCATTTATGGAGTTCGCAAACAAATTTCTCGAGCCGTTTTCCGCTGTTAGAATCCAACAACCACACAATTATGATGTCCGAATCCCAAAACTAAAATATGACAATATCAGAACCAGACTTGAAAGACTTGAAAAGATCGGCTTTGTCAATAGACGCATCCCACTGTGAAAACAAATATGACGGTTTGATGCTCACTTTTTCAGAAAATCCTTCCCAGTATGTATTGCGCAATGACCGTAAGTCCAAAATTCGTGATGCATGTATATGCAGAGGAAAAGAGGGAGTATTATGACTTTTTGAAGCTTTCTATCATGTTACATTGTTCAAAACAAGCCTGAAGAGCCTTTAAATGTTTTCCATGCATGTTTGAGTAATCTAGTGATCTCCCCTGGGCCCTGTTCAAAGTTTTCTTACAGTTAGAAATGTTGTTCTTTGCAAAGTTCAGCCCACAAGACTTTGGTTTTGAAGTTCGGTGATCTACAGCTGTCAGTATAATGTAATGATTCCTCTGTCTATTTCTTGTTTGTCTTCAGCTCTTGGCCAAAGACCCGTCGAAGCGCCTCGGCTGTCTCGGGGGCGGGGCCTCAGAGGTCAGAGGTCACCCTATTTTCAAATCCCTCAACTTCAAACGTCTCGAGGCCGGGATGCTGGAGGCTCCGTTCGTACCAGACGTAAGGATCTCACAACTGTAACGCATATTATATTATTTTACCGTATTTTCCATACTATAAGTGGCTCTGGAGTTTAAGTTGCACGAGCCAAAAAATGTGTAATGAAGAAGAAAAAAACATATATAAGTTGCACTTTTTGGGGGAATAACAGAACATAACAAGTTTACCAAACTCTCGATCTCACTCCAGATCTATAAATCCATTTAATTAGTGGTACAGAAGTAATGGTGCGATCAACTGACATGATACAGACACGACAGAGGCTCTTTCTGCAGGAGACATGTGCAGTAGAGAGTGAAGTGACAGTGATGCAGGAGGAACAGGAGCAGCAGATGCTGACACACAAGACTAGAGCGCCCTCTTGTGGCTTCAGTGTGAAAAATTTCATATATAAATCAGAGGTTGGAGCAAGTCGTTGTTTTGCAAGTCTCAGGTAATTCTCAAGTCTTTGACCTCAAGTCCGAGTCAAGTCCCAAGTCAAATACAGGCAAGTCCAAGTCGAGTCTTGAGTCACTGGCCCATAAGTCCAAGTCAAGTCCAAGTCGTCTGCTTTGAGCTTCAAGTCATTTCAAGTGTTTAAACCACTGTAGCTTAGCTTTTTGCAAATTATATGAATTTTAAACAAAATTGTACTTAAAAACTCCTGGTATATGTATATATGAGTATTTATAGAGATATATAAGAGTTATAGAAATTAATTTAGTTAATTTCTCCTTTTTAAATGTCTTTACAAGATATTAATGTGATTCATTACGGTCAGAATAGAAAGAATTCAGATTTAAAAGTGCTTTTCAGGTCTTCTCAAGTCACAGACCTCAAGTCCGAGTCAAATCCCAAGTCTCCGACCTTCAAGTCCAAGTCGAGTCCCAAGTCTTAGTCCATTTTATCAACTCAAGTCCTAAAAATAGTGACTCAAGACTGACTTGAGTCCAAGTCGCGACTTGCAAGTCCCAACCGCTGATATACTCCTTTTTTGAGAAATGTGCTTTTCTGTTGTTTACAGTGTATACAGTATGTAGTATGTATGATTATTGTTTATCTCTTGGCACAAACTCGAAATAAAAATAATTAAATCAATCAATCAATAAGTTGTACTGGAGTATAAGTCTCAGGAAACAACCCAAACCATGAAAAAAGTGTGACTTATAGTCCGAAAAATACAGTATATTATATTACATTTATTGAATCCAAATATATTTGAAAACATTTTTATTGTTGCGGCCCTGTGGACTTTAAGTCTCAGAATGAATCAAATAGAAATTAAAAATGAAGTGCCCAAAAAAAGGGTCTTAATGCAGACTTATGACTTCAAATCATTTCTATGCTAAAGGTAAGAAACCAGCCTGTTTACATCTGTGTTTTATGAATGATCACCAGGGTTGATCAGTTTTATCTCAGAGACAAGATTCATTTGTCGTTGTGTTTTTTTTTGTAAACAGCCTCAGGCCATTTACTGTAAAGACGTCCTGGACATCGAGCAGTTTTCCACCGTCAAAGGAGTCGAGATCGAAGAAAAAGACGAATCTTTCTACAGTAAAGTGTCCACAGGATGTGTGTCCATCCCCTGGCAAAACGAGGTGAGAGGAGCGTCTCTAAAAAGAAAGAAGAAAAAGTTTAATTCAAATTCTATATGACTTACATAACAAAAAATAATTAAGTAGTTCAATAATAATAAAATATAATAAAAATAATAAAAAAAAATATATAAAATAAATAAAAAATGTAAAATTTGTAATAAAATAAAATATAAAATTAAAGATAAAATTGATTTTAAAAAATAGAAAAATTGAGAAAAAACTAAACAAAAACAACAACAGGCAATGGTGTAAACATATACAAAAAAGTACAGAGTAAGCCTCTCGTATTTAATCATATTTAATATTCTTTTGTGTATTTGTGTGTAGATGATTGAGACCGAGTGCTTTGTGGAGTTAAACGTCTTCGAGCAGGACGGAGTGATGCCTCCAGATTTAGACTGGAGAGGTCAGCCGTCGTCTCCTCCCAAACAGGGGCTGATGCAGAGGCTCTTCGGACGCATGGTCAGTCTGAAACTAAAGACAACTCTTATGTGTGCTTCTGTACTTTATATTTTTATTGTTGTTTAATGTTGTTTTTATTGTTATTTTAAAGGATGACTGTGTATTATGTATGTTACACTATTTTCTGATCTATGTTATAATGTGGTTTCCTCGTCACAAACAAACCTGGAGTTTTGTTTTGTTTCATTCACACATAAAAGATGATTCAAACATGTGTGAAAGAAACAAAACACAACTCCAGGTCTGTTTTGACGAGGAAACCACACAGACTTAAAAATTCATAGTTTTTTAAATTGTTTTTTAAAATAAAACCAAAAATAAGAAAATTAAAAATGAACTATTTTCTTCATTATTTATCTCCAAAACCAAAATGAAAAAACAGATAATGATTTGCCTTTTCAGTTTTCGATTTTGTGTTTAAAAGAAGAATGGAAAAAATGAATAACAGCCATTTCCTGTTTCCGTGACTTAAACTGCGATGCTGGACTTTTGTGCTGCATACGGACTGAACCAGGACTAAAACCGGTCCAGGACCAGACCGGGACTAAGTCTGAGACTGGGACTGAGGCCGGGACTGAGACTGGGACTGAGGCCGGGACTGAGACTGAGGCCGGACTGAGACTGGGACTGAGGTCGGGACTGAGACCAGGACCAGACCTTGATTGAGACTGGGACTGAGACCGGGACCAGACCGGGACCAGACTGAGACCAGACTGGACCAGAGACCGGGACCAGAGACCGGGACCAGAGACCGGGACCAGAGACCGGGACCAGAGACCGGGACCAGAGACCGGGACCAGAGACCGGGACCAGAGACCGGGGACCGGGAGAGACCGACCGGGACAGAGACCGGGGACCGGGGAGAGACCGGGGACAGAGACCGGGGACAGAGACCGGGATTGAAAATGCTTCAGTCCTGGTTCAGTCCTGGTTCAGTCCTGGTTCAGTCCTGGTCCAGTCCGGCATCACAGTTTAAGTCACGTAAACGAGAAACGGTCATTATCCGTTTTTTCCGTTATTCATTTAAACACAAAACCAAAAACTGAAAAAAATATTTTCATTTTGGTTTTGGAGACAAATAATGAAAAAAATTGCTGTTTTTTTTTTTTTTTTTTTTTTTCATTTTCTTACTTTTGCTTTTATTTTGAAAAACAAATGAACTAATAATGCCACACAGATCCTTAAATAAACCTGACTTCTGAACACGATGTCTCCCTCTGCAGGACTGCTGTGGTAACTGCAGCGACAGTGACGACGAGCCCACCCGCCTGTGACGACCGCCGCTCCACTTTCGTTTACAACTTTTGCACATTTGTATTTTTACGATAGTCCTCGAATGTATATTTCCGCACAGCCATATTGTTTTTATTGTTATTTAAAATGGCCGCCGGTGATAGACTGAATTTGTGCAGACTTTTCTTCAGGGAACGCTTGCTTTAAATTCAACTTTTTTCAACTTTCTCGCTTTTTGTTTTTATGTTGTCGGACCGTCGCTTTGTTCAAGAAGTGCCTTTGCTCGCTGGCACTGTGACAAATAGAGGATTCAACCACTTTCTTCAGGGAATTTAACCTTCAACCCGGACATTTCACCACATCCATCCAAATCCTTTCCCGTCTCGTCATTGGTTCATTTCAGTCATGTGACCAAACGCACTTTCTGCATATATATTCAAATAAGTTATTGCTTTGACATTTCATATTTGTAAAAAAAAGAAAATGCTCTTGAAATAAAGCCGCATTGTGTAACTTTTCTGGTAGAGGATCCGTCAATTCCTTGTCGCCGTGGAGATTTTGTTGCTTTGTCTGGAAGGTTTCAAAATATGGCATTAAACTTCCTGTTTTTGGAAGTGTTTTTGAGCGGTAAAAAAAATATTTGTTGTATCATTTGTACATTCTTTTTTTTTTTTTTTTTTCCAAAATAAAACCAAAAATGGTTCTAGTTCAGTCCTCATTCAGTCTTGGTTTAGTCCTGCTTTAGTCCTGGATTAGTCCTGGTTTAGGATTGGGACCGGACCAGGACCAGGACTGAGATCAGGACTGAGACCGGGACCAGACTGGGACTGAGACCAGGACTGCAACCAGTTTAGACCTGGTGTAGACCTGGTTTACTCCTGGTTTATTTTCGTTTTAGGACTGCGGCCCGGACTGAGACTGGGACTGAGACCGGGACTGAGACCGAGACCAGTCCAGGACCAGGATCAGGGCCAGACCAGGACTGAGACCAGGACCAGGATCAGGACCAGGCCAGGACTGAGACCAGGACTGAGACCAGGACTGAGACCAGGACTGAGACCAGGACTGAGACCAGGACTGAGACCAGGACTGAGACCAGGACTGAGACTGGGACCAGACCGGGACTGAGACCGTGAGTGAGACCGGGACTGAAACTGGGACCAGACCGGGACCAGACCGTGGCTGAGACTGGGACCAGGATCAGGACTGAGACCAGGGTTGAGAACAGGACCAGAACCAGGACTGAGACCGGGATTGAGACCAGGACCAGGATTAGAACTAAGACCGGGACTGAGACCGGGACTGAGACCGGTTTAAACCTGGTTTAGATCTGATTTAGTCCTGGTTCAGTCCTGGTTTAGTCCCAGCATCACAGTTTAAGTCATGGAAACAGGAAATTATCAGTTTTTTTCCATTGAGACAAATAATTTTTGTCATTTTCTTTTTTATTATTATTGGTTTTATTTTGAAAAACGAATGAACGAATGACACACTTGTAAAATTGTAAAACCACCTGTAACTGAACAAATTTAAGGTCGAGCTGTTTAAAGTCACACTGTGGAACGTTCCAGACAGAAACAACAAGGTGATGGACCCTCAACCAAAAAGTTACACAGTGCAGCTTTAATGCCCCAAGCACTGAAACAGTAAGTATCAATGTAAATATTGTTAAAAAAAATATATTGTTGTTGAAATGTTACTAGAAAAACATTTGATTTGACAAAAGTGCGAACGAATCCTGGTTTAACTCAAAATGCCACAAACTATTTTCATCAAGAAATATTTGTGTCTGGACTTGAAATCATGAAATTTTTGGCAAGACTTTGGTTTAATTTGTACTTGAACTTAAAGGGTCCGTGTTACGACAGACCTGGAGTTGTGTTTTGTTTCATTCGCACATGTTTAACTCTGCATATTTACGTTTTTTCTGGAACCAAAAACACTCTGTTCCACCTTGTGATGTCATGTGGTGATACAGGAAGCGCTCCACTGTGTTTTTAAACTCCACGCACCTTCACTAGAATCATCTGGATCATTTCAAACTTGGAATTAACCAAATAATTCTGCTTAACTAAAGGTAAAAGTTGATGATTTAACTCGAAAAACTTCCACGACTCAGGGTTCCCGCGGTCATGGAAATGCTGGAAAAGTCATGGAAGTTGAAAATGTCCTCTCCCAGGCCTGGAAAAGTCATGGATTTTTGTAAATTCAATGAAAGTTTTGGGAATTTTAGTATCTTTTTCATGCAAATACACCATTCTCACTGGAAATAAACAATATCTAGGTAAATTAAAATGACTTAAATTAAGAACGTTTTACTTTATTTGAGTCGATTGAACTTGGCAAGTCAAATTATTGACCAGTGTTTTTTTCTAAATTCAAGCAACAATTCGATTTTGTTTCTTATTTTAAGTGCAAAAAGTTGTTGTTTTTCTTATTTTAAGTGTCACAGTAAGTGTATTTTCATATTTTAAGTACAAAAAGTCTTAAGATAATTTTACTTGTCAAGAGAAATTTACTCAAATCGTATGATAAAACTTTCTTAATTAATGTCGTCTTAACATGACTAGATTAGATTTTTTGCGATGCTGTTAAGTTATTATTCGACTATTATGATTATTTTTTTTAAAAGAGACGACAATAAATGCACTGACAGTATTTTGAATGTTTAAAAACTATAAAACCAAACCATGAGGTGAGTGGAAATCGTTAACATTTCATATTTAGCCCTTTCTATACATGTAAGGTGCTGTAAAGTCATGGAAAATTCACTTTAGGTCATGGAAAAGTCATGGAAATGTTTTGAAATTTTGTCAGACTAATAATAAAGCTTTACTCGAACATGTGTGAATGAAACAAAACACAACTCCAGGTTTGTTTTTGACGAAGTAACAACATTACACTGCACATTTCTCTGATCTGGCCAAGATTTTAAAACTTATATCAGATTATTCATCTTGTTTTTCAGATTTATTATCAATTTACTAAACCAGAGACGGCTTATATTTAGTCTACACTTCAAAAAAACAAAATCTAGTCAAGTTAAGATGACTTGAATTAAGAAAGTTTTATCACGATTTGAGTAAATTTTATTACCTGATTTAGACCTGGTTCAGTCCTGTTTCAGTCCTGGTTTAGTCCTGGTTTAGTCCTGGTTTCAGTCCTGGTTTTAGTCCTGGTTTAGTCCTGGTTTTAGTCCTGGTTTAGTTCTGGTTTAGTCCTTCTGTTTTAGTCCTGTTTTAGTCCTGGTTTAGTCCTGGTTTAGTCTGGTTTAGTCCTGGTTTAGTCCTGGTTTTAGTCCTGGTTTAGTCCTGGTTTTAGTCCTGGTTTAGTCTGGTTTAGTCCTGTTTTAGTCCTGGTTTTAGTCCTGGTTTAGTCCTGGTTTTAGTCCTGGTTTAGTTCTGGTTTAGTCCTTCTGTTTTAGTCCTGGTTTAGTCCTGGTTTTAGTTCTGGTTTAGTCCTGGTTTAGTCCCGGTTTAGTCCTGGTTTTAGTCCTGGTTTAGTTCTGGTTTAGTCCTTCTGTTTTAGTCCTGTTTTAGTCCTGGTTTAGTCCTGGTTTAGTTCTGGTTTAGTCCTGGTTTCAGTCCTGGTTTTAGTCCTGGTTTAGTCCTGGTTTTAGTCCTGGTTTAGTTCTGGTTTAGTCCTTCTGTTTTAGTCCTGGTTTAGTCCTGGTTTAGTCCTGGTTTTAGTCCTGGTTTAGTCCTGGTTTTAGTCCTGGTTTAGTTCTGGTTTAGTCCTTCTGTTTTAGTCCTGGTTTAGTCCTTCTGTTTTAGTCCTGGTTTAGTCCTGGTTTTAGTTCTGGTTTAGTCCTGGTTTTAGTCCCGGTTTAGTCCTGGTTTTGTCCTGTTTTAGTCCTGGTTTAGTTCTCGCTTAGTCCTTCTGGTTTAGTCCTGTTTTAGTCCTTCTGGTTTAGTCCTGGTTTTAGTCCTGGTTTAGTCCTGGTTTTAGTCCTGGTTTAGTTCTGGTTTAGTCCTTCTGTTTTAGTCCTGGTTTAGTCCTGGTTTTAGTTCTGGTTTAGTCCTGGTTTTAGTCCCGGTTTAGTCCTGGTTTTGTCCTGTTTTAGTCCTGGTTTAGTTCTCGCTTAGTCCTTCTGGTTTAGTCCTGTTTTAGTCCTTCTGGTTTAGTCCTGGATTTAGTCCTGGTTTAGTCCTGGTTTTAGTCCTGGTTTAGTTCTGGTTTAGTCCTTCTGTTTTTGTCCTGGTTTAGTCCTGGTTTTAGTTCTGGTTTAGTCCTGGTTTTAGTCCCGGTTTAGTCCTGGTTTTGTCCTGTTTTAGTCCTGGTTTAGTTCTCGCTTAGTCCTTCTGGTTTAGTCCTGTTTTAGTCCTTCTGTTTTAGTCCTGTTTTAGTCCTGGTTTAGTCCTGTTATTCCATTGGTTTATAATTTTACTTGTCAAGATGAATTGACTCAAATGAAGTAAAATAATCTTAATTTAAGTCATTTTAATGTAACTAGATATAGTTTTTTTCAGTTTATTTTAAGATAACTTGATGATCTTGTGGCATGGACAGATAATTTCACCATTTTTAAGTCATTTTCTGATAGATTTAAGTGTTTATATGTTAAATTTAGCATTTTTTTTTTTTTTTTTTTTGCTGTGTGTAACGTGGCTTAAAGCTCACAAGAGTCAGTTTTGTGTAATATAGGACCTGTAAAGATGCACTGTGTAACTTTTCTGGTGGAGGGTCAGCCACCTGCTCGGCTTCGTACAGATTATTTTGTTTATCTTGGAATATTTCACACAAAACGGCATTAATATTTAGTTTGGGGAAAAAGCAAAATTGCCGTGTGTTCTCATGTCTAATGGTGAAGGGAGGTCGCCTCTCCACAGACCTGACCTGTAACTTGGGTTTGTTCCATAAAAGTACAGATAGTTTTATATTAGGAACTTTTTAAGACCAAAATGATGAGTCTGACAACAGCGGTTGTAGGGGGTGATGGTTTTTCAATAGAAAGTGAACTGGAGCAAGAGTCGATGGAGCCGAAAGTGAACCCATGAACGCTTCCTATGGAGTAAGAAAGCTTTTAGAAATATTTGTGTGCGTAGGATAGAAATCTGTGCAGATTTGACTGTAGTTGAGCGTAAAATAAATATTCATAAACGTAAAAGTCCTGGATCAGTCCTGGTTTAGTCCTAGTTTAGTCCTGGTTCAGTCCTGGTTCAGTCCTGGATCAGTCCTGGTTTAGTCCTGGTTTAGTCCTGGTTCAGTCCTGGTTTAGTCCTGGTTCAGTCCTGGTTCAGTCCTGGTTTAGTCCTGGTTCAGTCCTGGTTTAGTTCTGGTTTAGTCCTGGTTTAGACGAGATATAGACCTAGTTTACACCTGGTTTAGTCCTGGTTCAGTCCTTGGATCAGTCCTGGTTCAGTCCTGGGTTAGTCTTTGTTTAGTCCTGGTTTAGTTCTGATGCAGTCCTGTTTTAGTCCTAGTCGATTCCTTGGATCAGTCCTGGGATCAATTCTAGTTTAGTCCTGGATTAGTCCTGGTTCAGTCCTGGTTTAGTCCTGTTTTAGTCTTGTTTTAGTCTTGGTTCAGTCCTGGTTTAGTCCTGTTTTAGTCTTGGTTTAGTCTTGGCTTAGAACTGGTTTAGTCCTGGTTCAAACCTAGGATCAGACCTGGTCTAGTCCTGGGATAAGTCTTTGGATCAGTCCTCGTCTAGTCGTGGTTTAGTCCTGGTTCAGTCCTGGTTCAGTCCTGGTGTTAGACCTGGTTTAAACCTGGTTCAGTCCTGTTCAGTCCTTAGATCAGTCTTGGTTTAGTCCTGATTTAGTCCTGGTTCAGTCCTTGAATCAGTCTTAATTTAGTCCTGGTTCAGTCCTAGTTCAGTTCTGGTTCTGTCCTAGTTTAGTCCTGGTTCAAACCTGGGATCAGTCCTTGTTTAGTCCTGTTTTCATCCTGGTTTAGTCCTAGTTCAGTCCTACAGCACCTGCTGTTTAAAAAAGTACTTTAAGAGTAAAAAGTGAAAGTATTTCCAAAAGTACAGACACCTCAAATCTTTACTTCAGTACTTCACTACTTTTACTCGCACCTGTTTGACCCCTGCACCCAAAAAGTTCCACAGTGCAGCTTTATGTACTTTCTGTTACTCTGAACATTCCAGCATCTGAAACCAAAACCCAAAGAAAAGAAAATATAAGAGTTTGAAAAAGCTTTTGAAGGTACGACGCCAACGCACTGTGAAGACTTACGGACTTAAATATTGTTTTTGTTTTTTTTTTTGTTTTTTTTTGTACTTTGTTTTTTTTCTGAATTCCTCGTTGTTCCTCGTCTGGTGTAGTTTGACCTTTGACCTCTGCGTGAAACTGTAAAACTCCGGCTGTAAATGAAAAAAAGCGGCTCGGCATCGACGTCGAAACCTGCAAGTTAAGCCACGTTTGAGTTTTGTACGAGTAAAATCTGTAGGTCACAAACGGACGAGAAACTGTTTTTAAATAAACAACTGTGTGTGAACTCAAACTGCCCACGCTCGCTCTTCATTTAGTCCTGGTTCAGTCCTGGTTTAGTTTTGGTTTAGTCCCGTTTTAGTCCCATTTTAGTCCCGGTTTAGTCCTTGTTTATTCCTGGTTTAGTCCTGTTTAGTCCTGTTTTAGTCCTGTTTTAGTCCTGTTTTATTCCTTGTTTAGTCCTGGTTTAGTCCTGGTTTAGTCCCGGTTTAGTCTCGGTTTAGTCCCTGTTTAGTCCTTGTTTAGTCCTAGTTTAGTCCTATTTTAGTCCTTGTTTAGTCCTGGTTCAGGACTAAATCAGGACTAAAGTATTTCAAAAAGTAGAGACACCTCAAATCTTTACTTAAGTCTCTCCCTCCTTCTCTTTCTTTCTTTCTCTTGCTCTCTTTCAGTTTATTGTCCGATAATCAGGAAGTGCACTTTCACATGC